GGGCTGGGGGCCGGGATTCCTGGGTCTGAGGGAGGAGGGGGCTGGGGTCTGGACTCCTGGGTCTGAGGGAGGAGGGGCCGGGGGTCCTGACTCCTGGGTCTGAGGGAGGAGGGTCTGGGGGCCTGGGCTCCTGGGTCTGAGGGAGGAGGGGCTGGGGTTCTGGGCTCCTGGGTCTGAGGGAGGAGGGCCTGGGGTTCTGGGCTCCTGGGTCTGAGGGAGGAGGGTCTGGGGGCCTGGACTCCTGGGTCTGAGGGAGGAGGGGCTGGGGTTCTAGGCTCCTCGGTTTGAGGGAGGAGGGCCTGGGGCCTGGACTCCTGGGCGTGAGGGAGGAGGGGCCGGGGGTCTGGACTCCTGGGCCTGAGGGAGGAGGGGCCGGGGGCCTGGCCTCCTGGGCCGGGGGGGGGGGGGGCTGGGGGTCTGGACTCCTGGGTCTGAGGGAGGAGGGCCTGGGGTTCTGGGCTCCTGAGTCCAGGGGAAGCAGGAAGAGTAGGCGCCCAAATGTCTGATTAGCAACAGGGAAGGAAACCCAAAAGTTGAGGGTTGTTATGTGGAACAGAGAAAGGATCAGAGTAGAGGAAGCAATTGCTTTCAGGGGGGAGGTTCATCGGTTGGAGATTTTGACACCAAGGTCTCCCTTCCCACCCTGTGCCAGCTCACTGGGGAATTCCAGCAGCTGGCCTGGAGGAAGGGAGAGGGGAAGGCAAGTGACAGGAGGAGGCAGGTCACCACAGCCCCATACCCAGCAGCTTAAGGACAGAAACTGCACCCAGAAAGGAGTCTGACCTGTGGGCCTGGCTTCTGGGGCCTCAGAGGAGATAAGAGCTAGGAGGCTGGACCCCAGGGGCTAGAAACCAATGCAGGAATTCTAGAAGCGACTGGGACTGCTGGGTCCCCAAGGGAAGAAGGGTAGAGAGAGCTAGAGGCTCAGCATCTGGGTCCTGGTAAGGACAAGGGCTGGGGTCTCGGACTTTGAACTTATAAAGCTGAAGGAAGGAAGTTGGGGGCCCCTTGAAGCTAACTAAGGTGCTGCCTGCTAGGTTCTGAGTGGGGAAGTGGCGGTTTGGGGGTGAGGTCCCGAAGAAAGTGGCGGGTCAGAGGGTCAGACGGCCCGACTGCTCTGCAGCTTGGACTTTGGCTCTGCCACGACACCGCCCGAGCCCTACCCCACGTCCCCCCTCCTTTTCCAACCTCTCCCACAGCCCCAGGCCCAGGACTGGGAGAGCGGGAGGGAGAAAGTTCGGACAGGTGAGCACTCCGGGGAAGCCCAGAGGCTGGCAGTGGAGGGCTGGCTGGGAGAGGCTCAGAAGCTGGGTTGAGGGAGGCCAGCTTGGAAAAACTGGGAGGTCGGGATGGAAAGGCAGCTGTTACAAGAGGGAAAGTGCCCCAGGCTGAGAGCTGGCCTCCTCACACCAGACCCTCACCCATTGTTTCTGCCCTGGGAGCCAATGTGGGTGTGGGCCTCAGAGCCTGAGGGGCTCAGAGCCCGGAGGCCACCTTCTGATGCAGCTGGACCCTTAGGGCAGGTTCCTCACCTGAGAGAGAGAGAGAGAGAGAGAGAGAGAGAGAGAGGGAGAGAGAAAGGTTCCTGGTCCCTCTTCTTCCCCTGCAGAGCCCGGCATGTGGGGTTACCTGTCCCTGCTGCCTGCCTTCCTGGCCCTTTGGGCTACTGCTGGAGTCTGGACCGTGTGAGTGTTAGAGGCGGGAGACCCCTGGGAGGGGCTGGGGGTCTGGACTCCCGGGTCTGAGGGAGGAGGGGCTGGGGGCCTGGACTCCCGGGTCTGAGGGAGGAGGGGCTGGGGCCTGGACTCCCGTGTGTGAGGGAGGAGGGGCTGGGGCCTGGACTCCCGGGTCTGAGGGAGGAGGGGACTGGGGGCCTGGACTCCTGGGTCTGAGGGAGGAGGGGCTGGGGGCCTGGACTCCCGGGTCTGAGGGAGCAGGGGGCTGGGGGCCGGGGCTCCAAGGTCTGAAGGGGAGGGAGTTAGAAGTCCTTATTTCTGTGGGTAACAGAAGGAACACGTGTCGTTAAAAACCACTTTGATGTCTCTCTATACTTCAGTTTTGCCCTTGCCGTGACCAACAGGTCTGTGAACCTCACCGAAGGTTTCCCCTATATCAGGTAGTTATGGCGCTGGCCGGGGCGGGGGGGTTCCGAGGGAGAAGAGGAGGGGGCCTGGCTCTGAGGAGCCGCAGGATGATCCTTCATCTTCCCCAGCCTCTGTGGATCTTACCCCCCTCAGAGCTGCATCTTCAGCCAGCTGCTGAACATGGGAGCTGCTATGGGTAAATATTCTCAGCCCTTTCTGCTCAGGGCGAGACCCCCCCGACCCCGACCCCAGCCAAGGGGGCCCAGCCCGGCCCCGGCCCCGGCCCCCGCCCCAGGAGTCCAAGCCCCCACCCCTCCCCTAGATGTGGGGGTTAGGCCCCCACCCCTAGACGCCCAGTCTCTCCGCACCCCCTCCCCAGGAATCCGGGCCCGGCTTGCCCGCCCACTTCCCTCTCCTCCCAGCCGCCTGGATCTGCATTATCCGTTACCACCAGCTCCGGGACTGGGGAGTCGGAAAATGGTTTAACCAGCTGATCCTGTGGACGGGGCTCCTGTGTGCCTTGGGCACCTCCGTGGTGGGCAATTTCCAGGTGAGACGGTATCCGCTCGTGGAGCCCAGCCAGGCTGTCCGACCAGCCCGAGTCCAGGACTACAGCTCCCAGCATCCCCTGGGGCCGCTGGCTTCTCGTTGTGGGGGCTCTTCCGCGCACGGCCTTCTGGGACTTGTATTTCTCTTAGGGTCCTCGGACAGGGGAGGGAGGTGAGCTCCTCCGCTGTTTGAATGGAGTCCCGCGAGGGAGGCTCTTGGTATAATTATTTCACTGAACCCTAGAAGATTGGGGGTAATTTACTGCCGTCCCTTGCCCCTTTCCTCTTTTGATAATGAAATTACTCAGAGCCACTCATTCTTGCCGCTTAGATGGAGCGTTCACTCTGTGCGGGGCGCTAGGCTTTACACTGTGTAGGTTTTCTTTTTTTTTTTAGACTGTGTAGGTTTTCATCCATCTCCACAAGAGCTCTAGCTCAACTCTTTTTGGTCAAATCCGACAGAGGGTTTTGTTTTTGTTTTTGTTTTGTTTTAATCAGCTGGTTCGTGGCGGTCAGAAATGAAACCAGATTCATAGACTCTAGAACTCACATTCTTCGCCTTGAGGTTCAGTAGATATTTGTAGGACAAAAGGACATTCGGTTGGAGAAAGCCTATTGATTATTTTATATTGTTATTTTTAATTTTACTGTGATGTCTCTGAGTCCAAACCTCTCCCGTGAAAGTACTATAGGATAAGAGGCTGCCTCCCACGTGGTAAGAAAAATTCCCCATTACTTATTCGTTTCGTTTATTCCTGTGCTCCTCAACTTTAACTTCTTTAAAAAAAAAGTTTTTAAAAGATTTTTATTTATGTATTTGAGAGAGAGAGAGAGCGCATGAGAGAGAGAGATTATGAGGAGGGGGCAGGGGTAGAAGGAGAAGCGGACTCCCTGCTGAGCAGGGAGCCCAATGCAGGGCTTGATCCCAGGACCCTGAGATCACGAGCTGAGCCAAAGGCAGACGGTTAAGCGACGGAGCCACCCAGGCACCCCACTTCTTTTAAAATTATTATATTGCTCCCCTAAGGAGCCTTTTAAAGTCATTTCTGGTCATCGCTTCCCCTCATTAAACTTTTAATATTTAAAAAATATTAAATAACATATATTATGTATCTGTAAACCACAAACCATTGTAATCTTTAAGAACTTTTCACTCTTGAGGTGTCTGGGTGGCTCAGTTGGTTAAGCGTCTGTTTTTGGCTCCGGTCATGATCCCGGGATCCTGGAATCGAGTCCCTCACCGGGCTCCCTGCTTCTCTCTCTCCCTCTTCCTGCCGCTCCCCCTACTTGTGCTCTGTCACTCTCTCTCTCTGTCAAATATATAAATAGAATCCTAAAAAAAAAAATAAATAAATGAGAACTTTTCGCCATCCAAAAACCAATTTTTGCCCCCTGGGTGGCAATATCAGCGCTCCCCCTCCCTGGTTGAAGAATGAAAGATTTATTGCACTAATATTTCCCGAACATCTACGATGTGCCAGGCCCTGTATTAGGGAGTGAGGCCGCAGCAGTGAGCACAGTCTCTTGGGTGGGTCAAAGACCCCTCCCCCCACCACAGCCCTTGCATCTCGCCCCCCCCCCCCACCGTGTATCTATCTTCCTCTCAACTCTTTTCCCTTTTCCTCCCAGCAAAAGAACCAGCTGCCCACGCACCTGATAGGGGCCTTCTTCGCCTTATTCGTGGGCAACCTCTACTTCTGGCTGCAGCTTTTTCTCTTCTGGCGGATGAGGAGCCTGCCCCAGCCTGGGGCCCCCTGGATCAGACTGCTCCGCCTGGGCCTCTGCAGCCTCTGCACCATCCTCATGGTGGCCAATATCCTTACCGGGGTTGGTGGCAGGCGTTGGGGGTTCTTCACTGGGGTGGGTCGGCTCCACGCAATGTGCAGTGCCCTGTCCTTTCTTGGCCTCTGTCTCCTCAGGATTAGAGCGTCATAGAAAGTGTCAACCCGGGGGCCAGGCAGCCGGGCTCGGATTCCACTTCCCCCACGTCCTAGCTGTGGGGGGAAACTCCACTGGCTGAGCTTCTCAGTGTCTCCGCTCCTTCAGCTGTCAGAGGTGGATAATACCAGGGCTGCCCCCGGAGTTGTAAGGAATGAAGGGAGTAATACATGTGAGGTGCTTAGATTGGTGCCCAGCGCAGTGAGCCACCGGCAGATACCGGGAGGATGGCTAGTCAGCGAGAGCAGCCTGTTTGGGGTACCTGCCCTGTGCCGGGCATCATGTTGGCGAAGACTGGAAGCTGAGGCCCAGAGGGGGAGTCTCTTGGCCAAGGCCCGTCATGAAGCCCGACGGCGGAGCTCGTGGTGGAGGCAGGTGGCTTGTACAGACTCTCGAAGGCAGTGCCTATCTCTTCCCAGCTCCATGTTTGGTGCTGTCGTGTTATCCCGCAGGCCTCGGTGGGAGTGTTCACAACACAGAAATTGGCCAATGTTGCAAACCAGAGCTGGTTGTTAACCATTTACCAGCATGCCTACCACCGGCTGAAGACTCTACCCAGCCCAGTTCTGAGTCACCCGAGCCCAGATGCTTGCCGCCAGCCCGGCACTCCTCCAGGTGACTCAGATCACTGTGCTTCAGTTTCCGTATCTGTAAAATGGAGTTGTTTTGATCATAGTAATGGTCATTACTGATAAAGTGCCCTGCCAGAAGGCCGCTGGTGTTCAGAAGAGCCTACCAGGAAACCAACTGAGGTCCTGTGCTGGCTGCATGAGGGACATCTGCTTATTTGGGATTATCCCAGCAAATGGAACGGGCAGTCCTATTTCCCAGCGCAGCAAACTGAATCCCATTGAAGAGGTGGGAAGGGCGGCCCCTCAGCTAAGCCTTTAGCTACTCCAGCTGGACAAGCAACATCTCCCCTCTGCAGAGGCTCTGTTGGTGATAAGATCCAGCTGGCCCCTTGTGTTTTGTTATTACTTTTTTAATTTTTTGAACATTTTATTTATTTATTTGAGAGAGAGCAGGAGGAAGAGCAGAGGGAGAGGGACAAGCGGACTGTGCTAGTGTGGAGCTTGATGCGGGGCTCCATCCCAGGACCCCGAAATCATGACCCGAGCCGAAACCAAGAGTCGGTTGCTTAACTGACAGCCACCCAGGCGCCCCGTGCTGGGCCCTTTTAAAATCCCAACTGGGCGGATAATCAGTTTGGCTGCAAGGTCCTTATTCTGTGGCGCTCAAATATCCCTAGGCCCTGGCGCCAGGAAATGGACCATAAAGATGGCCAGCAGAGTGTGATTGATAGGGGCTGGGGTTCTGCAAGGATGGGTCTGAGAACTGGCAGATTCTGAGCTGGTCTTGCAGAACTAGCTGCTTTTCACCTGCTTTGGGAGGTTGGGGACACACCACAGGTGCACGCTGAGGGCGGAAAAACCAGCTTGGAGATAAGGCCACTGGCAGGGCCTGAGATGTGGATTTCCAGTGCTAAGGTGAGGCTTTAAAGGCTCGAGTGTCTTCCTGGGGGCAATAGGGAGCCATGGGAAGCTTACGAGCAGGGGAAGAACAAGACCAGTTCTGGCGGTAACCACCTTGTGCGTGGGTGCTCTCACCTCTCCTTTGCTCTAGGATTCACGGGATCTGGGGTGATGTCGGCCTTATCCGCGATCTAAAAATCCTTCAATGAATGAAATAATGTCCAAACTGATCTAGGAGTGAGTGGGGGCTAGCTTGGCTGAGAAGCGGGAAGGTTGTTGCAGTGATCTTGGGGCTGTGAGTTCAAACCCCACATTGGGTGAGGAAGGAAGGAAGGAGGGAAGGAAGGAAGCAAGCAAGCAAGCAAGCAAGCAAGCAAGCAAGGAAGGAAGAAAAGAAGACAGGGCAGACCAGGAGAGAGACGCAAGACAGAAAGAGATGGGCAAGGCCAGGAGGATGAGCCTTAGGGTGAGGAGGGGGAGGGGGTGAGGGCGAGTCCCCAGGGTCCGCTAGGCACATGAGTGGGTGGCAGAGTTCTCACCAGGTGAGGACACCAGGAGGAGGAAGATATTTTAGGGGCTGAGCGGGAGGGGCCTGTGGGCCACGGGTGGGGGATGAAAGTTGCCAACATAGCCTGAGGCTGGCGCCCGGCTTGGGGGTGTCTTTAGGAAACCCTGCGTATTTTGAAGGAAGAAGCAGTTGGCGGGCAAGTGGAAGGTGGTGATGGTGGGGCCTTGACGGGGTCAGGGAAGGCCGAGGGTAAGATGAGAACCTTGTTCTGGGATGTTGGAAATGCAAAGTGAGCAGGAGAACCTGCAAGGGGAACATTCGGGAAACAGCCTTAGATGGGGAGGAGGGCATCCGCGTGACAGTGTCTGGGAGCCGCGGAGGCCTTTCCGGCCTGGGCGGGGCGAGTGCGTCGCGAGAGGCCACCTGGCCCCGGTGACCCAGCTGGGTTCCCGGATCCTTCCTGTTGGTGTGGCCCTTGACCCCAGGGTGCAGTGGTCATCCTCCATTCCTGGCCGCTGCGCTCGGCCTCCGCTGCGTGCGAGTGGGCCATCGCCACACTGCTGTTCGCGCTCTTCGGCCTGTTTGCTGTGGATTTTTCCTGCCTGGACGGCTGCACCCTGTGTCTCCAGCCGGGCCCCAGCCTCAGCCCCCCGCCGGCCTCCCCCATCTCCCTGCAGATCCCCCTGTGAACGGCAGTCCGGGCGGGGTGGTCTGGTCCCGGTGCTGCTGCTAGGGCCACCCAGGAAGTGAGAGGCCAAGGCCAGCCAGCCATCCCTGCTCAAGGCTATTTATTATTATTATTATTAATTTTTTTTTTTTTTTTTTTTTGCCGCCGGCGGAATCAGAGACACGGACGCAGGCAGGGTCACGCGAAACCAGAATTCCTTCCGGAGAGCAAATCCGTACAGAAGGTTGTGAGAGGAAGGGGGAGAGCCGGGGAAGGGGGGCCCGGGAAGGAGGAGTTGGGGACACAGGGACAGATGGCCCTCTCCGTCCGGATCTGCTAAGCCACCCCGACCAGCCCCCGTCCCTCCCCCACCCCACCCCGCAGAGAGATTGATCAATAAATAAAATAATAAATTAATCAATAAATAAAATAGAAACAGCTCCCCCGCCCTCGGTCCCCCCAGAACCACCCCCCATTGGGCACGGCCCCCTGAGCCCCATCCCTGCAGGGCAAGGCCGGGTTTGTTGTACCTCTCCCCTCCCTACATACTCCTTGGGCCCTATTTACAGATTCACAGTTGGGGGGCAGGGAAGGGGGGTGGAGGGGGCTCCCCTCCTTCCCCGGCCCCCTGGGGTCAGGGCAGAGGGGTCCCGTTGGTGGCCAGGAGCTTCTTGTCCTTAGCGGGGCCTCGGCGGGGAGAGCTGGTCAGCTCTGGGTCTGGGCGGCCGGGTGGGGGCTGCAGGCTTCTGGGTGGGGTGCCAGCAGGCCGGGTCTGGACCCCGTTCTTCTCATCTGCGGAGAAGGAAGCAGTGTGGCCTCAGGAACCTCAAGGCTGCCGAACCCCAAGGAACACGTTCCAGCAAGATCGTGGTGAGGCCAAGGGCCCCCACTGCGGGGCCGGAAGCCTGGGGCGGGGGGGATGGCTGCCAGGAGAACACCCATCTGCAACCAGACCTGGCAAGGTCATGGACAGCAAGCAGGTCATGCATCCTGGGCCCCTCTGGCCCCTGTGGCTTGGGAAACTGGGCCAACTTAGTCCCCATGAGACCCAGAGGCCCCACTCCAGGGGGCATTCTCACGGACTCTGGCTATGACGCTATCCACGAAGGGACGGCTTATCACAGCAGCAGGTCCCACTGGAGTCCCCAGATCACAGCCAGAGAGGTTCCCTTGCCTTCTGCTCTCCTGGTTGTTAGGGCAAACGCTCATCAGCAACAGGGGAGCCTACAGGGGGTTGTTTGGGGGATCTGAACAAACCTGGATGGTCGATTGCCCCTCTCCAGAACACCGTTCCAGAACTTTTGTTAGCAGCAAGTTCCATGACCCCAACACAGAGACTAGTCAACCTCTGAGGGATCCCTGGAGGTGCCCTCCCTAGCCAGGAGGCCTTCTCAGGTTGGGATGGCCCTGTTCCCTGGATGGAGCTTAGACCCCAGCCTCTCTGAGAACCTGTGATCCTCGCCCACAAACCAAAGCCCTGGGGCACTTGCTCAGCAGGCGGTCTCCCCTCCAGCCCACAGGATAAAAGAGGGACACATGGCCTTAGGCCCCTGCCTCCCACCTGCCAGGGCCTGCACGGAGGGCTGGTCGTGAGTGCTCAGCAGTTGTGCCTGGATGGTCTCCACAACTCGCTTGAACCGACGGCTGGGACCTGGAGGGGATACAGAGATGGACTGACTTAGGGACAGGGACAGGGAAGGCCCTCCCACCCTGTGCAACCCCGCAAAGGACTCTCCTCCTCTTGGTCTCAATTTGCTGCCCTGTGTTGGGGCCAGGAATAAACCCACCATTTGCAAATGGGGCTAAGAAAGATTGGAGTTAAAATAATGATGGGTGTGGCTTTCTATTTAAATAGGTTGTATTACTTGTTAGTTTCTAGCTGAGGCCATGAAGAGCCAGAAATATAAGAAAAATAAGCGGGAAGTGAAAAAAAAAAACCTTAAAATCAAGGAAGTCCTGCACATTAATCTTTAAGGGAAGGGAAAAAAATGCACCATAATTCATTTTAGTGATGTAACACTGGCAGGAAACTGGGAGCAAGCTCATCTCCCAACTGTGACATAGTAAGACTGCTAACAAGGGTGGCACACAGAAGCATCTCTTGTTATTCAGACTGTTCTCGTCAGGGCTCGGAAAGCAAGCCGCATCGGAAGCAAGACATTTCTGTGGTTTTCATCTCTGGTGCCAACTCTTGGTTGGTCATGGCGGCCTGCAGTTTCTGAGGCTGCAGCTGAGCTCCCAGGAAGAAGTGCTGTGATGGACTGGTGATGTCTGCTCTGGGTGCAGGCATGACACCGGACCGCTGCGAGCCACGTCTTTGCCCTTCAGTGTCAGCAGGGCTGGGTCGAGCCTGGCTCTGTCGCGGTTTGCGGTGTGACTCTGTCACGTCAATTTACCTCAACAGGACTCTGTTTTCTCCTCTGTCAAGTGGGTGAGCACTAATACCTCAAAAGCTGCTGGGAAGCTTCAATGTAATAGTGCATGTAAAGCACTTGGAACATCCTAAACGTCCATGAAGGGGCGCCTGGGTGGCTTAGTCCGTTAAGCGTCTGCCTTCAGCTCAGGTCATGATCTCGGTTCTGGGATCGAGCCCCACATGAGGCTCCCTGCTCAGCAGGGAGTCTGCTTCTCCCTCTGCCCCTCCCCCTGACTTGTGCCCTGTCTCTTTCTCAAATAAATAAAATCTTAAAAAAAAAAAAAAATGTCCATGACATGTCCCTGAGAAAGGGGGGAAGGACAGAATGTGAGGGTCTGAATGAGGGGGCCGCTATCCCAGCTCAGCTGTCTTGTGCATCCCACATGCCAGGGTGGAGGCAGTCTCTAGCCAAGGGATGCTTACCGGAGATGAGCGTAAAGGTGACGGAGTAGATGCCACCACCGCCACTGCTGTCCCGTCGTGGGGAAGGCTCTGGACCCTCTGAGGAGCTGATGTCCACCTGGAATCGGACGGGCTTCTGGAAGACGGAGGGGCCGCCACTGGCCTTGTACTCGGCCCTGAAGCTGGTCTGTGACAGCACACTGTGACTCAGGCTGGGGATCTGAGACAGGCAGGGGACGAAAGGAGGGGGTGATTCCAGGGAACGGAGAGCCACGACTACACGTTCCATCAGCCACCAGAGGGGAAAGAAGAACAGAAAAGCCGGGGGGAGCCCGCACTGCCTGCTGGGGCTTGTAGTTTTCTTGTCCAACTCTAAACAGGGTATCAGAGGAGTGGCTGATAACAGGGACTTTCACATCTAGGTGTCAGCCCCAGGCTCCAGAATCACATGATACAAACTTCTCTGCCTCCACAGGCATTACCATTTGTGTCTCAAAACCTGCAAGTCCCACTAGCTCCTAGAGCAAGAACCAGAGGGCCCAGTGGAAAAAGTGGTTCCGTCTGCTGATCTCAGACCTGGTGATGGGGGAATGGCAGCTCACCAATACTCTGGGGAGTTGTTCTTTGCACCGCCTCCAAGCCCCAGGGTACAGTAAACCTCTGCACCTCCCGCCCCTACAGTGACCCAACCCAACTCTGAACGGAAAACTACAGAACCCATGAGCCTCAGGAGGCAGTCAGGCCAGCGCGAAGGCAGCGGACCCCAGGGGCTGCTGGGACTTGTAGTCCGGTGCTGGCCAGGACACAGTAAGACCCGGGCCCCTCACCGACAGGAAGGCGTGGACTATGTCCGCTTTGATGCTGCTGAGAGGTTTGTCCTTTAGCACAAGGAATATTTGTTCTTCTTTGTCCAAGGAGATGAAGTTCCCAAACCAGGAGCGTTTTGCCAACCTGAGTGAAAGGGAATGGTTGGAAGGTGGGTCAGGACGGCGATCAGGGAATAAACCCTCCCCCATCCTCTCACTTCCCTTCCCTGTCAGACTCACTCTGGAGAGGACTCTGGCGTCAAACTGGACATCTCCTCGGCAGTGGGGACTGGCGGGCGGGGAGGGAGGGGAGAGTATGGTCAACACTTGCCCATCATCCTGGGGTCCAGCACGTGGGCCAGGAGTCCCCTCCAGCCAGAGGTTCCAGATCCTGGTGCCCATTCACCTCCCGGTAACTAAACCCCAAATGGCACGCTGCTCTGTGGTCCTTCTGGGGATGCTAGCCAACCCGTTAGGCCACGCCCTCTGGGGGGTGGGACTTGCTAGCCATGAGCCAATGGGAAAGTGAGCCAGGGCACTGGAGGGAGGTGTCCTTGACAGAGGCTCCCCCTCCAGAGCTGGAAGCCACACCCCCTCTCCTCAACACCTGAATTTCTACTCCCAGCCCCATCTTCTCTCAGGAGGTGGGAAGCCGGGCCCCCAGCCCCTGCCCCCTCAGGGACCCTGTACCCTGCATCTTGCGCCGGTGAAAGCGAGGGGAGCCCAGGAAGCTGTTGCGGATGGAGTTGAGACGACTCCTCCAGGCGGCTCCCCCGACGCCACCGCCGGGGCTTGGGGGTGGCGTCGTTCCCGGCGTCCCAGTGGGGCTGGCCCGGGGCGTGTGCAGGGGCGAATGCAAGGGGGTACCCCCAGAGGAGCGCGGGGAGCCTGGGGGACCAGGCAGGGGCGTGGAGCGGGCACTGGGGGGCGGGGGCTGCTCCCCGGCGCCCCCACCCCTGGGGCCTCGAGAAGGCAGCGTCTGCGTTTTGGAAGTCGGGGAGCCCCCGCCCCGAGCCTCATCTCCGGCCCCGGGCTCAGGTGAGAAGGAAAAGACAGGACTCTGTGGAAGAGTGGAGAAGGGTGAGATGGCGGACTACAACTCCCAGGAGCCTCTAGGAACCCCGTTCGCACATACTCACGGAGGTGGGTCCCGATGCATGCTGGAACTTGTAGTCCAGTGATTTCCCCCTCCCAACCCACATTGTTAGGGGGACAGAGACTTTTTCTATCATGTTCACTGCTGTAGCACAGTGACTGGTACACAGTAGGCGCTCAATTAGCTTTTGTTCCGCGCATAAACGAACCCTTGACACACACTAAAACCCCAATCCTATCGGAGGTGGAAGTGCCCAATGCACTAAAATACTTATGCGGCCTTAGGGTTGGGGGCCCTTTAGGGACAGAGAGGCTATGCCTCAAGACTTCATGGGAGTTGTAGTTCCTGCTGCTCGATCTCGGCTCCAGCGTCTTCACCCCCTTACCCCTTCCTAATGACTAGGGGCTTACCCTTGGGCTGCTGAGAGGGCTGGAGGACAGACCGGTGGAGGCTCCACTGACACTGCGGGATCTGTTTCCAGGAGAGACGATGATGATGATGATGATGATGATGATGATGATTTTTAATCAGGTGTGTGGGTTTCGCAAGGCGCAGATGTCCTCTCCCTTCCACACGCCTTTGCGATGCGGACTTGAGGCCCGGAGAGGGGCCACTGCGGTGGAGCTGGGGCTAGAACCCCGAACCCCCTCCCCACCCACACTGTGGGTCCGCGGGAGGGGCGGCGGCTCCCACCTCTGACTGTGCTGGGCCATCTCCAGGGCGCGTCGGGTGGGCACTGGGGAGCCGCCGCCCCCAGCATCCGTGATGCTCAGAACTTCCATGGACTTCCGCTCTGGCCGCCGCTTGCCGTGACGGCTCAGCATGGGGGAATCCACACGTTTCCGAGGGGGGTCTGAGGGCGGAGAGTTTCAGCCCCATCAGAAAAGCTGGCTTCGCGCAGCCGTGCGTGGCACTGGTACCCGTGGGGGAACAGAGGCCCGGAGTGCAGACTTTTGACAAGGCCACGGAGCAAGTCGGGGGGGTGGGGTCCAAACGCAGAAGCTACGGGCTTGCAGCCCCTTCCTCCCTCCGGAGTCCGGAGTCCGGACCCCCAGCCCTGCCTTCTCACCGACATCATTCCGGGGAGGCAGGTCCTGGTCCTCACAGCTGGGATACCGCTCCTTCCGATCCAAAAGCAGATAGTAGATCATCTTTTCTTGGTTCTCCCTGATGGGGAAGGGAAGTGAGGGGGTAGGAGGGGATTGGGGTCAGGGGTCGGGCTCCAGAGGTCTTACCCCCTCCCTGCAGCTGTGGCTCTCGGGGGCTTAGTACACCCAGTACCTCTGTCCATGGGTCCATCTTCCTAGGCATCAACATGGTCAGCTTTTTTGTGTCGGCGTACATCTGACCCTTACTTAGCCGTAATAACACCTAATAACTGAGCACTTACTACTTGTAAGCCCTGCGTGGGGCACTAAGTCTGTCTCAGCGCCTGTCGATACTTTGCAGCATCTTGTCTTTTTTCCGCCGGTCCTACCGCCCCCTCGTGGTCCCTCCGGGAACAGCTCCACGTGGGAACTTTAAGCCACGCCCCATCCAGCGACCGGGGCGCCACGCCCCAGGGAGTCTGCGCGTGCGCGGGGCCTGGGCGCGCCCTCTGCCGGCTGGCTGGGGCCCTGCGGCGGCTCGCGGGACGTGGACCGCTGGTGCGCGTTGGGGCAGGGGGGGCCTTACTCCTCGCTGCGCAGCTCGCGGTGCAGCCGCTCGCGGTCCCTGAAGCAGCCCAGCGAGGCCATGCTCTCCAGGACGTCGGGGTCCAGCTCTCCGTTCGATGGCAGGCTCCGCATGGCCACCCGGCGGCCTGGGGCTGGCTCCAGGCAAGGGTCCGGCTCGTGTTTCCCGCCCCTGGGGAGGGGGAGAAACGTTACCGGGGACCGGGCCGGGCGTCCGGGATTCGAGCCCTCTCCACCTGAGACGCAGGTGTCCTGGGCCCCAACCTGCTCCTCTCTTGGGAACCCAGAAGTCCCGGCTCCCAGTCCCTGCTCCACCTGTGTCCCTTCCCCTAGGACTCAGAAACCTGAGTCCCTAGCCCCTCCTCATTGAGGAACCTTGGTATCCCACCCTCTAGCTGGTTCTCCTGCTGGGGACCCTTGACGTTTGGGCCCCCTGCCTCTCTCCCCCAGGGACCCAGGTGCTTAGTTGTCCCATACTCACAGGTACCAGGGATGTTTCTGAATTTGCTCCAGCTGAGGGAGGGAGAGAAGCAGAAATGAGGTCGTATGAACACAGCAGCCCGCAAGGAAAGTAGATGAGGTGGCCTTGGGGGTCCCTAACAGTGTCCCCTCCTCTCCGCCAGGGGCAGGATGACAGCTTGGGTCTTCCCCTGGTGGCAAGTGAGCGCCTCGACCCGCGACTACCGGGGACGGGCCTGGGACACGGCCCGCACGCACGGTGGCAGCCCTCCCGCGGTGGGGGTCCTCCCCCGTGTGGAGCTCATTGAGCGAGCCCGGGGACCGACAGGCAGGTCCTGGAGGTCCAGCCTCATGCGCCCCCCTCTAGGGGTTCTATCCTCACGACCCACTGCCCGCCCCCCCAACTCACACTGAGCCTTTTCTCGGGCTCCACTTCGATCATCCCTCTCAGGAGGCTCTGGCAGTCTGGAGGGATGAAGTGGGGCATATGGAAGACACCCCGTTTCACCTTCTCCAGCAGCTGACGGAGATTGTCATCATCAAAGGGCAGAGCCCCCTGAGTGAGAAATAACAGGACCCCTCACATAGAGCTCGGGATGTTCCAGGCGAGACCCCAGGTGCCTGACAAATCGGCACATTTAGTCCTTGCCACAAGCACTGGGAGGCAGGGGACCGTTATTATTATTATTATTTATTTATTTATTTTGAGAGAGAGAGAGAGAGAATGAGAGAGAGCACATGGGGGGGGTCAGAGGGAGAAGCAGACTCCCCGCAGAGCAGGGAGCCCGATGCGGGACCCGATCCCGGGACTCCAGGATCCTGACCTGAGCCGAAGGCAGACGCTTAACAACTGAGCCACCCAGGCGCCCAGCAGGGGACTATTATGATCCCACTTTACATGGGGGAAACTGAGGCATGGAGCTGTGCAGCAATTTGCCCAAGGCCTCTGAGCTGGTAGGTGGCAGAGCAAGGATTTGGCAACAGACAAGTCAGGCACCAGGGCTTAAGAGGTTGGGGTTGCAGCTTGGAGGCTGCATCTTAAAAAGAGGTTTCTCCCCAGACCAGTTTCAGGAGGGGTAATCCTCACACGTTTGCTCAACAAAAGGTGAGCATCCATCTTGGGTCAGGTCTCTCGTAACAGACAAAACACGTCTGCGCCCTCCTACAGCTCACACCCTAGATTGCGATACCCCAGTGAGTGAATGAACTTTAGCCGCTCTGGCATCATGCGGGCACCCCTGCTATCTCCCAGGTTCTGATCTGGCCGCGAGGGATGGAGCAGGGGACACCAGGTCCCTGGCCCCATGGAGCTTTGTCTAGAACAGTGCCTGGCACACACGGATCCGTAAGCAGTGGCTGTTGGATGAGTAGGGGGAGGGCCAGCAAACAACAAAGGGATGCAGGGAACGAGACAGCTGGGAGTCTGGGCGATGAGGAAACGCGAGCAGAGCGAGCAGGTAGCGAGAGAGGGGAGCCGGGTCTAGCAAGGGAGTCATGGAAGGGGTCTCGGAGGAGATGATGGTGGACAAACACTTGCAGGGGTGACAGCATGAGTCTCTGAGGGCTTTTCCAGGCATTGCCCCTAGTGTCAGAGGCCTCTGGACAGAGGATGCAAGGTGTAGGGGAGAGGAGGAGAGGGGCACCCCGCAGTGCTGGCCTAGGGCCAGGAAGCCTGGATGTGACTTCCGCTTGTCTCTCTCATTCAACGTGGCTGAGTGTTTGTTGTCGGCCTGGCGCCTGCATTCTACACTTCCCAGCCTCCAGAACAGTGAGAAGTAAGTGTGGTTCATGCCGCCCCATCTACCTTTGTTATAGGAGACCAGACTAAGACAATTTGTTGACATTGAACATGTGGCCAGCAGCATTCGAACTCACACTGGAAAGAAGCTTATCTAGCACAGGTATTTTCTCTGTGACGGACAAAACAACCTTCCCGTCCTTAGGAACGCATAACGACACTCTGCGGTGGGACGATTTAAAATCACCAACAGGGGCGCCTGGGTGGCTCAGTTGGTCAAGCGAATGCCTTCGGCTCAGGTCATGGTTCTAGGGTCCTGGGGTCGAGCCCCGCATCGGGCTCCCTGCTGGGCGGGAAGCCTGCTTCTCCTTCGTCCACTCCCCCTGCTTGTGTTCCCTCTCTCGCTGTCTCTCTCTGTCAGTCTTCCCGGGGGGAGCCGCGAGCCCCAGGCACACCCGTTCAGCCTCGGTCCCCTCGGTGTCACATAGGCTCGTGGTGACGAGACCAAACACTGATCCCAGCCCTGCCGCTGTCCAGAAGTGTGCCCGTGGGCCAGTCACTTCTCGTCTCTAGGGCTTTTGAGAGAAGTGCACAAGGTAATGTGCTTGGAACAGTGCCTGGCACAGAGTAAACCACCAATTTATTCATGCCACAGCTGCTAAGGAGGACTGACCACATGCCAACTCGGGTCACGATAGTGATCCAACAGAATAAAACAACAAAGATAAAAGCCCTGACTTCTGGGAGCTGATGATTTAGAAGGGAAGGAGAAACCGCACAAGTCGACGCACAATAGCAACTCTGACAGTCACCAGGAAGGAGAGAGCCTCCCCCCAGAAGGTCTGACCTCGTGAGGGGTGGGGGGAGAAGTGGGAGCGAAGAGAAGTCTACGTGTGAACTAGATGAGCAATGGGACGGGTAGGGATGGAAGAGCAGGTTGAGCCTATGCTCTTCTAAGCAGAGAAGAGCAGGTGCAAAGGCCCTGGGGGAAGAGCCGGGCTGACAGGCTTGGTCTGATTATACTAGTCATTACCATATTGCAACAAACACCCTAGAACAGCCGCTGTCCCAAGCCGCCCAAGGGCTCCTGGCTGCCCTGTCCCTTTCTGGGACACCCTGGACTAGTTCACAGTGCTGTGCCTCAAGAGTTAGCTCTGGGCACAGAGGTGGCGGTAGGGGGGAGGGTGCTCCAGGATCTTGGTCCATTGGTTCATACTTCCCACCTTCCTGATACCAGTTAAATATTTGGTAGACAACCCCTGAGGGAAAGATGGAACTTAGTGTTCTGTGCTCCCACCAGGCAGGACTGCTCTAGAAAACGGGGCAGGAGAGGTGAGGGTCCCCTTACCACAAGCAGGGCAAAGAGAATGACTCCACAGCTCCACATGTCTGCCCGGCGGCCGTCATACTTCTCCCCCTGGAAAGGAGAGGGCCCAGCCATGACAGGGTCTCTCCACCATGCTCCTCCCACTCCTCCCTCCTCTCCACGTGCTCACTCACCTTAATCACCTCCGGACACGCATAGTGGGGGGACCTGCGGGGGAGAGAGGCGGTGTGAGCCTCTGGTGGGCTTCTCGCCCCCTCCCCGGGACTACGGAGGCCAGGCCCCCACTCACCCACAGCTGGTCTCCAGGAGGCTGTCCCCCACCTGCAGGGACGCCATGCCGAAGTCTGCGATGCGGATGTTGTTTTTCTCATCCAAAAGCAGGTTCTCGGGCTTCAGGTCTCTGTGGCTGAGACAGGCAGGTGGGGCTCAGGCCTCTGCCCTCCTCCTGGAGGCTGAGGCCCCATTTGTTATCTCTCAGAGGCGGGCACTTCTGGAAGCTATTATGGGCAATTTCAAACATGCTCCCGAGTCGTGAGAAGAATATAAGGAAGCCCCAAGTACCCATCCCCCAGCCTCACCTGTATCAACTCAGGGCAGGTCTTCCTTCATCTCTACCCATACATACTCTTTCATACTCTTTCCTTCCTCTGCTGGATTATTTCGTAGGAGGCCCCAGACAGTGTATCATTTTATCCACAAATATTTGAATATGTGCCCAGGAGGTAAGAAGGCTAATGTTGAGCTACTGAAATATTGAAATACTTCCATACTGAGTAATAAGAAAACTATGGTCACCCCAAGCTAGTCACTGGTCCCTCCCTGGAGACACCAGCCCTCTCCCCTGGAGCAAAACTCTCTCAAATTTTAAGGGTTGATGTCTGGGGGGAGGTGGGGCCTGAGGATTCTACAGTTTCTGTTGGAAGTGGTCAGTAACTGGGTCATACTTATTGCTAAATATGTTGACTATTGCCCCCTAGAGGTCAGCGCTTGTAACGTCAGGGTTTTGACCGGGTCGTGTCAATAGGGAGGTGTTGACAATTTAAAGGGGTTGCCTTTCCATCACCAAGCTTTATCCCCACCTTGGAGCCCCTCCACCCTGACACCCACCCCAGTTCCAATCTCCATCCCAGAGAGGGAAGGGGCGCAAGCAAATGAGGCTGAAAGATGAGCTGAAGGCCATTCGGTGAGGAAAGGACAATCTTTTCATATGGACATTCACACGCCAAAAAAACACAAAAAAACAAAACAAAACAAAAAAAAGAACCTCAACCCTTGCCTTCCATCACAGACAAAAATTAATTTGAAATGTATCCCAGGCCAAAATGCAAGAGCTAAAACTATATAACTTCTGGAAGAAAATGTAGGAGGAAGCCTTAGGGACCTTGAGCTGGGCAAAGGTTTATAGATAGGGCAGAAAAGACATAAACTGTAAAAAAAAAAAAAAAAGATACAAACTTGAATTTATCAAAATTTCAAACTTGCTTTTCACAAGACATTGCTATAAAAACATAAAAGCGGGGAGCCTGGCTAGTTCAGTCAGAAGAGCATGCAACTCTTTTTTTCCCCCCCCTTTTAGAAATTTTATTTATTTGAGAGAGAGAGAGAGAGATAGCACGAGTGGGGGGAGGGGTACAGGGACAAGAAGACCCCCCGCTGGGCGCAGAGCCCCATGCGGGGCTCCATTCCAGCACCCCAAGATCATGACCTGAGCCAAAGTCAGACACTTAACCAACTGAGCCACCCAGGTGCCCCGAGTCTGTGACTCTTGATCTCAGGGTCATAAGTTTGAGCCCCATGTTGGGTGTAGAGATTACTTAAATAAAAAACTTAAAAAAAATTAAAAAACAATGAAAACTCTAAAGTATGTCACAGACTGGAAGAAAATAGTTGAAAAATATACAGTTAGTAAAAGATTTGTTCTTAGAATAAAGAACTCTTAGGAGAGATGCCTGGGAGGCTCAGTTGGTTAAGCATCTGCCTTCGGCTCAGGTCATGATCCCTGGGTCCTGGAATCAAGCCCCGCGTCGGGATCCTTGCTCAGCGGGGAGCCTGCTTCTCCCTCTTCCTGCCGCTGCCCCTGCTTGTGCTCTCTCTCTGACAAATAAATAAATAAAATCTTAAAAAAAAAAAAAGAACTCTTAGGGGTTATTCCTAGAGCTATCTCTTGTTCCTAGAATAAAGAACTCTTACAACTCAATAATAAAAAGACAACTGAATAAAAAATGGGCAAAGGATCTGAACAGACATTTTTCCAAGGAAGATAAACAAACGGCCACTAAGCACATGAAAAAGCGTTCTATGTCATTAGTCATCAGGGAAATGCAAATCAAAACCACAATAATGAGACGCCACTTCATACCCACTAGGATGACTATAATCAAAAAGTCAAATGATAACAAGCGTTGGCAAGGATGTACAGAGATTGGAACCCTTGTGGACTGCTGGTGGGGATGGTGAAGGGTACGGCTGCTTTGGAAAATGGTCTGGCACTTCCTCAAAAGGCTAAGCAGAGTTCCCACATGACCTGACAATTCCACCCCCAGGGATATACCCGAGAATCGAAAACACAGGTACACACCAAAACTTGTACTTGATTGTTCCCATGTCCATATTATTTACAAGAGCCAAAAAAGGAGAAACAACTAAAGTGTCCATCAACTGGGGAATGATAGACGAGATACGGCACAGCCACACAATGGAGTATTATTGAGCCACGAAAAGGAAGGAAATACCGACACATGCTGCAACATGGATGAACCCTGAAAACGTTTTGCTGAGTGAAAGAAGCCAGACAGAGACGACCACATATAGTATGATTCCATTTATAGGAAATGTCCAGAATAGGCAAATCCATGGAGATGGAAAGCAGATTGGTGGTCGTCGGAGTCTGGGGGCAGGGAGGCTGGAAGGGTGACTGCTTGCTTCATGGGTACGAGGTGATGATTTTGGGGGTGAGGAAAATGTTCTACAATTACATAGCAGCCATGCGCAACATTGGATGTACTAAACACTGCTAAATTGTATACTTTAAAAGGGTGAATATTATGAGACGTGAGTTTTATCTCAATTTTTAAAAAGGAATAAAGATTTATTTTGGGGCTGCACCACACTGGCTTCCAGTGAGCCTTGTGGGCAGTGCTCATCCCGGCCTCCCCTCCAGCTGCCCCCTCACCAGATGGAGTAGCTATGGCAGAAGTCCAGCGCCGATACTATCTGGCGGAAGAACTTCCGGGCCTCCTTGGGCGTCAGTCTCCCCTTCTTTACTAGATAGTCAAACAGCTCACCTCCAGAGACGTGCTCCAGAACCAGGTACCTGGGGGACGTGGAGGGGGCAGAGGGCTGGAAGGGGCATGTGGAGGACCAAAGAGCCTGGTCTCTCTCTTTCAAAATCCCCTGGACCCCCGCACAAGACCTCAATCCCACTGGCCCCTGGAAGCAGAGAACCCCAATTCCTACGAGCCCCTGGGAGGAGGAGAAGACTCCAATTCCCATGAGTCCCTGGGAGGAGGAGACTCCAATTCCCATGAGTCCCTGAGCAAAAGAGACTCCAATTCCCATCAGCCTCTGGGAACCCAAAACTCAATTCCTCTCAGTTCTGGGCAGCAGAGACTCCCATGGCAACTTTAGGAGTATCAATACTTGGACTCTCAGTTATTTCAGGAGATAAGACAACTCTGTTAGCGCCTGGAGGACAGGAACACCTCAATTCTCACAGGATCCTGAGAGATAAAGACACCTCCCCCTCCCCCACTCCCATCAGCTTTTGGAAAGCCAAGCCTCTCATTCCTATAAGCCTCAGGGATGAAGAAACTCAAATTCTCATTAATTCCTGGCAATAACAATTGCAGTGTTCATCAATCTAAGGCAACAACCATGAGGTAAAAAACTACAAGTCCCATCAGCTCCTGAGAGGTTTAAAGCTTCCCAACTCCCATAAGCCTCTGGGACACAGACTCCTAATTCCCATCAGCCACCTGGATCCTTAAGACTCCAAATCCCATCAGGCCCCAGGAGGCCAAAACTCTGATTCCCATCAGCCCCTGGGAACAAAAGCGCAATTTCTATGAGCTCTTGGAAAGCTGATAGTCCTCTGTGAAGCCCAAACTCCCATGGTCGCCCCCTATGCCTACCTAGGTGGAGGAGTGGGAGTGATAGCTCCACCAGCTGGTGACAAAGCCCCTCCCTGCCGCCACACCTGGGGAAGCCTGAACTACAATTCCCATGAGCACCTGGGGCCGGGCCTCTTACTGCCTGGGGAAACCCTCCCCAGCATCTGATGGGTCCTGGAGTCAGTTCATCCGGGGGTGGGGGCAGGGGTCTGTCCCCTCACCCGCTGCCCAGCCCGGCTGTCCCTTGGGTCACCAGAGTCCAGACAAAGGCCTATTGTCTGCACCCTGGGCAGCTGGACTCTACTCCCATCTTCCTGGGGGGTAATCAACTTTGAGATACAGACTGGGAACTCCTATAGAAGGCCACTGTTGGGGTGTCCATCATAGCCCCCAGAGTTATGTGGGAGGAGGAGGGGGGCCTGCAATGCTCCAAGAGGTTGGGGGTAGGTTTAGGAAGAAGCAGGATTCACTGAGCCTCAGGCTTTGCTAAGCCCCCATTGCCTCAGCAAAGAGGAACAGGGTGGGGAGCTGCCCTTAGCAAGCTGGGTCCGGTTGAGGACATCTGGATTATCTAGTAGAGAGTGTTCCCTGCAGTGCAGTAGGGCGTGGGCCTGGGGCTGGGGAAGAAGGGCCAGGATGGACCTCTGTCCCCCACCAGGATGGCTGACACTTGGCCGTGCTGTTGCTAGGGCACGTTTAGCTCTTAGTGTCAGGCCAGGTCAGGCCAGTCAACGTGGGAACGAGGAGGATTATGTGTGTGTGTCTGTGTGTGTGGGAGGGTGTTCTGTGCAGGAGCGAAGGGACTGACTGGCCCTTCGGTGGCTCCAGCCAGGAGAGCTTAAGTTTCTCCAGGCCCCTCCAGGCCTTGTTTCCAGAAAGGTCCCACCCTAGGAACTTGGGGTGGGGGTGCATGGGGGGCTGGGTGTCTATAAATACCTACAAATATTTCTTGTTCTCGTAGACATCGTGCAGCTTGAGGACGTGTGGGTGTTCAATGAGCTTCAGGATGGCGATCTCCCGCTCCACCTGGGGGTCAGTGGGGACGCAGGAATGGAGGTCAGCATGGCCTCCCTCGCTCCCCCCACCCAGCCCCAAAGGGGCACCCTGCCCCAGTGCACACACACCTTCATCAGCACCGACTCAGACAGCTTCTCCCGGTTCACGATCTTGATGGCAACCTTCTGGCCAGTGATGCAGTGGACCCCGAGTTTAACCAGCCCTGCGGAAGCAGGACTGAAAATGTGGGGTGTGCTCCCAGAGCACTCTCCCGGCCTCTGGCTCCTAAGTCCTCCTTACTCCCCACTTTCCTCCTCCTTTCCCTGCTGGCCGTTTAACAGTGGCCTGAATCAGCCTGACCCGAGCGCTAAGGGCTCTGACAGCTACCATTCCCATGAAACACTCTCTTCTTCCTGTTGCCCGTAGACATGGACATTCTGTTCGGTCCCTTCTTTATTCCCCCGCCCCCCTTAGGTAATTTCTACACCCACGTGGGGCTCGAACTCACAACCACAAGACCAAGAGTCGTGTGCTCTACTGACTGAGCCAGGCAGACGCCCCTGTTCTGTCCCTTCTGAATGTCCATCCCTCCGCCTGCTGTCACCTCCACAACCACCCCTGGTTCTCACCCGGATTCTCTGTCCTTCTGGTGTGACCCTTCAAGTCCGTCCCTCCACAGAATCCTCACCGTGTCTCCATAATGTTGTCTCCCCGACTGCCACCTTTGCCACCTTCAACCCCTCTCTCTTTCAACCCATCACTTCCTTGAATTCTCTGCCCTTCAATCTTCTGGAGACTCCCTGTCTCCCAAGGAATATACTTTCACGTTTGCCCCCCTCCCGGACCATCCTCCGCCTCCTCCTAAACCCTGGCCTTTCAATTCCCTTCTTGATCTGCTTTTAATAGCACCTGTGGCTGGGAGCATGCAAACCCCAAGAGTATGCCCACTTCCCAAGGGTAAGCCCCAAAGCCACAGAGCCTGGAGTACGGCCCCCAGCCCCTCCCCCCTCAGACCCAGGCGTCCAGGCCCCATGGTCCCTTCCTCCCCCATAACTCAGGAATTCAGGTCAGTGACACCTTCACACTCCTACCACTAGGATCTTGAGGTCTGAGCCTCTCCCCTTCCCTCATGCCCTCAGCTTCCACAAGAGATCCTGGGCCCACCCCTGGACCTCCTGCCTAGGACACGGGTGTGCAGATCCTGCTTGACACCCACCCACCCTCCACCTGGCAGGAAAGAGGCCATGGCTGGAGCCAGGGTTTAGCAACAGCAAAGGATGACTCCTGATTCCACAACCACTCCTGGGAGATTTGACTCTCAGATCCACCTTTCCACCTTCCGTTCCGGTTCCCCATACTGAGCCAGCACGCTGGAGAAGGGGGAGAATGCTGCAGACCCCATCACCCTAGCTTCACTGCTGGTCACCCGGACAGCCTGCCGGGAGAGCCTGAGGCCCTCCTCAGCCAGAGAGCAGTGCGGAGGAAAGTGGCTGCCCAGGGTGCACCCCCATCCCGCGGCATACTGCAGCAAGGACCTCGGCTCCCAGTGCCGGCCGATCCCCTGCTGCAGGCCGGCCTCCCTTCCCCACGGAGGCCCTGGAGCCCCTCCAACTTCTGCCCCCGGGAGGTGGGAGCCTTTGGGCCTCAGCACCTCCCCACAGGAATCCAAGCCCCCAGCCCCCTCCATCCTGGGGACCCAGCACACTGGACCCCAAGTCCCTTCTCTGTGAGGGACCCCGGGGTCTGGGCGATCAGCCCCTGCCCTTTGAATACCCATGAGTCCCGCCCTCTGCCCCCCAGCTCTCCTGCCCACACCCCAGGTGTCCCCTCCCCTGACTCACCTGTCTGTCCTTTGCCCAGCGTCTTCTCCAGCCGATAGGGGCCCACATATTGGGCGTGCTGGGGTGGGTGTGGGTGTGGGTGCGGGAGGTGGTAGGCGGGGGAGCCCCCGCCCCCCTCCTTGGCCCCGGACGACATGGTGCCCTTGGTGCCGGTCCGACTGGCCCCCCGGCCGCCCCCCCTGCGGCAGGTCGCCCCGTCCCTCCGGTGGGGGCCGGCGACAGCTCCGTCCCGGCCCCCCCGGCTGCCCCCCACCTCTCCGGGGGTCCCCAGGGGGCTGGGCTGGGCCCCCCCCCAGTCGGCGGGCCGCGGAGCTGGGGGAGGGGGGGCTGGCCCGGGGGGGGGGGGTCAGGCCCCGGGAGTCAGCCTGGCCCGGGGGGGCTGCGCGGCCCCCCCTCCCCAGCCCGTCTCTGGCCGGCCCCCCCCTTCCTGCGCCTCCCCCCGCCGGGGGGGGTCTGAGGTGCGGGCCGGCGGATGCTGCAGGCCGAGGTCCCCCCCGCCCCCCCACGCGCCCTCTCTCCTCCGCCTCCTCCTCCTCTCCGCCTCCCCCCGCCACCTCGTCCTTTCTCTCCCGCACGCTGACATCACCATCCGGGGACTCCGGGCCCTTCCCCAAAGTTAACCCTTTCGGAGGGGGGAGGGGGAGCGGGGGCAGGGGGCGGGCCTGGGCGCCGGAGGGATGGAGAGGAGGTGGGAGGGTGCAGGGAGGGATGGAGGGATGGCGAGGGAGAGAGATGCGGAGCAAAGAGACGGGGACCGAGATGGAGCTACACAAAGGGAGAGGGAGTCTGACATGGAGACGGGGACACGCGCAGCGGGCTAGAGAGATGCAGACACCCGGGGACCGCGCCGGCGGCAGGGCGTCGGGCCGCGGTGGGCAGAGCCAGGAGGGCAGAGCGGGAAGAAGAGCAGGGGACACAGAGACGGGGAGATGGGGCAGAGTCGGAGGAAGGGCCCCAGCTGGGGGGTGTCGGACACGGAGAGGCAGAGAGGAGGGAAAAACAGAGGCAAGGAGGCAGCCAGAGAGAGATGGAGAGAGATGTACAGAAACGCAGATGTGAAGGGGAAGGCGAGAGAAGGCGAGAGGGAGAGACACAGGCGAGGGGAAGAGACAGGGAGGTGGGGGAGAACAGAGAGACAGGGACAGGGAGGGAACGCTGGGGAGGTGAGTGAGGCACCCGGGCTAGAAGGACAGACAGGAGGACGGAGGGTCAGAGAGAAAAGTGGGAGAGAGATGGAGAGGGTTGGGGGCAGGAAGAACAGACGGGCGGAGGGAGAGAGAAAGAGAGATGCACAGAGAGTGAGCCATGGGGGGCCCTCAAGAGAACAGTGGGGTACATACAGGTGCCAGGCACAAGCTGGGGAACATGGGCGACAAGCAGAGCAAGGGAGAGAATTTGGGAGTAGCTGAACCAAGACTCAAACCTGCTTCCCCAGGCCTCCAAGCCTCCCTGTTCCCACTAGCATCAGGGGAATCCATATCCACCCACAGCCCACGGCGCACTGTCTCAGAGCATCTTGGTCCCACACCTCCATTTAGGATCCTCAATGCTCCTACAGAGAAACTTCCAGAACCCCCTCCCTCAGGTCCCTGTGTATTTTTTTTTAGACCCCTGACCATTCTCTATGCCCATCATAGGGTCTCCTTCATCTTCATGTGGGCCTCCCTATAATTATACATCCCCTCTCCTCTATGGGTCTGTGTTCAGATAGATCTCCACATAATCCAGGACTCCCCTGTGTGAGGTACCCAAAGGTGTTAGGCACCCTTTTAATCTCCAAGTCCCCTTTAAAGTGGACCCAGGGTGCCTGGGTGGCTCAGTCATTAAGCGTCTGCCTTCGGCTCAGGTCATGGTCCCAGGGTCCTGGGATCGAGCCCCGCATCGGGCTCCCTGCTCCGTGGGAAGCCTGCTTCTCCCTCTCCCACTCCCCCTGCTTGTGTTCCTGCTCTCGCTGTGTCTCTCTCTGTCAGATACATAAATAAAATCTTAAAAAAAAAAAAATAAAGTGGACCCAAGAGCTTCTAGTCTCCTAGTCAACCACCTTCATTCCATAAACCTTTATTGAGTGCCACAACTGAGCTGGCAATGTCCAAGTCATGAGGGGACAGCAGTGAACCAAATCAACAGAGATCCCTGCGCTGTGGAGCTCTCCTGGCACTGGATGAGGTGGGTGATAAGCAAGATAAGCAAAATATACGGTATGTTTGACAGTCGAGGCCAGTGCTAAAGAGCAGATTAAAGCAGGGCGCCTGGGTGGCTCAGTCGTTAGGCGTCTGCCTTCGGCTCAGGTCATGGTCCCAGGGTCCTGGGATTGAGCCCCACGTCAGGCTCCCTGCTCAGCGGGAAGCCTGCTTCTCCCTCTCCCACTCCCTCTGCTTGTGTTCCCTCTCTCGCTGTGTGTCTCTCTCTGTCAAATAAATAAATAAAATCTTAAATAAAAAAAAGCAAATTAAAGCAGGGAGGGAGAGAGGAATTATTGGTTGGGTGGAGTGTGATTTTTGATACGATGCCAAGAAGGACTTCTCCAGTGAGGGGACATTGAAGGAAAATGAGGGTCAGGGCTGTGTGGACAAAGTACCTTCCATGCAGGGGACAGCAAGTGCAAAGGCCCTGTGGTGGGAGGGTGCCTGGTGTATTGTGGGACCACTGAAGGGCCTGTATGGCCGGAGGGGAGCAAGGGAGGAGGAGAGAGAGAAAATGAAGTGAAGAGGCAGATCATATAGGGCCTTAGAAGCAGGGTAATGAGAGGCCTGGTGTTCTGTAATTATTAATGGGGTCTGTTTGCACTCTGAAGTATCTTGCTATACATGGAAAGTTGTACGCTCACTCTACTTACAAGGTCATTGTAAGGACTATGGCTTTTATAGGATACCTGGGGAGTTTTCATATGGACCACCGTTATGTCGTTCATACATTAACATATATAATGTTACGTACAATTACACGTGACTCACACACATATGACATGGTATTATGCATGGTACCATGTGGTAAATAACCTAAAAGGACTTGTATGTAGGTGTATGTAAGTATAGTAGGCTGAATTACAGTCCCCAGAGATGCCCACATCCTGATCCCCAGAACCGGTGCATATATCACCTTATATGGCAAAAGGAACTTTGCAGATATGATTGAATTAAGATCATGAGATGGGGAAGAGGATCCAGGTTATCTGGGTGGGCCCTAAATGTAATCACAAGGGCCCTTCTGAGGGGGAGGCCAGAGAGTCAGAGCAGGAGATGGGATGACGATGGAAGCAGAAGCCAAAGTGATGCAGCCACAATCCGAGGAGCATGGGTGGCCTCTAGAAGCCAGAAGAGGCAGGAAGCAGATTCTCTCAGAGCTTCCAGAAGGAACACAGCCCTGCTCACATCACAGAAGAGCCCTTTTGGACTTCTGACCGCCAGAACTGTAAAATAATAAATCTGTGTTGTTTTAAGCCACCCAATTCTTCATAGTTTAAAGGCAGCAATAGAAAACTGATACAATAAAGGGGCGCCTGGGTGGCTCAGTCATTAGGCATCTGCCTTCAGCTCAGGTCATGATCCCAGGGTCCTGGGATCGAGCCCCGCATCGGGCTCCCTGCTCAGCGGGAAGCCTGCTTCTCCCTCTCCCACTCCCCCTGCTTGTGTTCCCTCTCTCGCTGTGTCTCTCTCTGTCAAATAAATAAATCAAATCTTAAAAAAAAAAAAAAAAAAGAAAGAAAACTAATACAATAGGGCACAGGGGGTGGGGGTGGGAGCCCAGACCCCTGTCGGAGAGCTATTCTGGTCAGTGCTACAAACACCGACCACCGTGCACAACGGCTTTTACACTGTCGTCCTATTTCTGCCCCAAATATAACCCGCCACACCCCAGGCCCAGCAGTGGGATCCACCTGAGGGTGAGTACAATCTTCTCCTGGTGGGGCAGGGCCTCTAATGAAGACTAGAACCCGGGTTTCTTTAAGCCCAGCTCAAGGCAAACACCTCTACAGACCAGGCCCATTCCCAGACCTGAACCCCAAATGCCGTGCACAGAGTCGGTAAGCCTCCCAGAGCACCTCGTCTGGGCATTTTGCTTCAGCTCCACCTTCAAGAATCCCCTCCCTTGGGCGCCTGGGTGGCTCAGTCGGTTGAGCGACTGCCTTTGTCTCCAGTCATGATCTTGGAGTCCTGGGACCGAATCCCGCATCGGGCTCCCTGCTCAGCGGGGAGTCTGCTTCTCCCTCTGACCCTCCCCCCTCTCATGTGCTCTCTCTCTCTCAAATAAATAAATAAATTAATTAATTAAAAAAAAATCCCCCTTGCACCAGGCAAGACTCAGGGAGGATTCCAAGAGGGAGGGAGAGCCTGGGTGGTAATAAGTGTCCTCAGAGGAGCTGCAGCGGGAACCAGGCAGCCCCCTTTGACGACTGGGGAAACTGAGGCCAAGAGAGGGGTGAGGTGGGCCAACGGTGCTTACATCAAATATGAGGGGTGAGAACCCAGAGCCCCAGTCAAAGATGGGCTAGGGGTCCAGTGGAGGGTAAAAGGCCAGAGGGTGAGGGACCCGCACGACCTGCAAGGAGGGGTGGGGCCTAACGGGGAGCGACCCGCTCACCAGCACGGGGCGGGGCTTAGGGGCGGGGCGGGGCGGGGTCCAGCTGGGAGAGGCCGAAAGGCCTAGAACAGGGGCGGAGCCTGAGGTAGCAGGGAGGGGCGGGGACATAGGTGTGGGCGTGGCCCAACCGAGGAGGAGCCAGGCTGCGGGGGCGGAGCGTGCGCCAAGGCGGGGGTGGAGCTTGCACGGAGGCCGAGGGGGCGGAGCTCATTAAGGGGCGGGATCCGGATCGGGGGGCGGAGCTTAGGCCTAGCGTGGGCGGGGCCGAGCGCTGTCTCCCACCAGGTTAAGGCTTCAGAGCCTCGCACGCGGCCTCCGCCTCAGGTACGGCCCAGGTTGGGAGGGTGCTTCGGTAACTTCCGGGCGAGACCTGCGCATTTCCGGTCAAGATGGCGGCGCCCACCAGAGTCAGGTGTGGGCGACTCTGTCTTTAGTAGCGGCGGCGACTCGAGGCCCGGGGAAGGTGAGACCCGGGGAAGTGAGGTCCTCCCCGCTTGGGCTCCCCCTCTTTGGAGAGGAAGGGGGGGATTTGTTGCTAAGACGTCCAAAAGGAGGGTTTGTTGCTATGGAGGCCGGGCAGTGGGGTTGCTAAGAGACGGGAACGCATTTAGTGGAGATGGGGGAGGGGGTTGCTGGTTGCTAGGTGGAGTGGGTGGGGCCTGTTGCGGGCGGGGGGAAGGAGAGGCTTTTGACTTTGGGGAAGGGTCCCGTTGGTATGGAGGAAGGAGCGGGGGCTGTGGTTAAGGTGGGTGCGGGCAGAGTGGTTTGGGGTCATGGGGGGGCTCGGAGCTCCCCTAAAACGTCACCTTCTCAGCAGACCCTCAGGAGTCGACCCGTCAGGACGCCAGAGGTACCTCAGCGGTGATCACCCCCTACCCCAAACACATCCTTCCCTTCACAAACAGCCCATGGCGGACCAAGGCTCGGGGGGCAGCCGCCTCCCCCTGGCGCTGCCCTCAGCCTCCCAGGGTTGCTCATCAGGGGGCGGCGGCTCGTCGGTGGGGAACTCGGGCCATCCTCCGCCCCCGAGAAACCTCCAAGGCCTGCTGCAGATGGCTATCACGGCGGGCTCCGAGGAACCAGACCCCCCTCCAGAACCCATGAGTGAGGAGGTAAAGATGGGGACCCAGCGCAGTGGGGGGAGGGGTGCCCTGGGCAGGGGCGGAGTCCAGGGGTGAAGGCAGAGCAGTAGGCTGTATTTGTGCTATATGGGTTATTGCAGACTGAAGGTCAGAGCTCACAAGTGTCTGGGAGGGCAGATTCCTGCACCCCAGCACCGCGCTGGGATGCACAGTAGCTTCGTGGTGAAAAGAAGGAGGGGAGGGTTCTCAGAGCCAGGCGGACCTGGTTTCAGCAATATCCAGCTGTATGACCGTGGGCATATCACTTCATCTTTATGAACAGCAAGGTCTTTTTGTTTGTTTTGTTTTTTTTTAAAGATTCTATTTATTTATTTGAGATAGAGCGTGCACAAGCGGTGGGGAAGGGCAGAGGAAGAGGGAGAAGCAGACACCCCGCTGAGCAGAGAGCCCAAGGTGGGTCTCCATCCCAGGACCCTGGGCTCATGACCTGAGCCAAAGGCAGACGCTTAACTGACTGAGCCACCCAGGCGTCCCTGAGCAAGGTCTTTATTTGCAAGCTGGTGGTGATAATAAGAGTAGTAGTGGTACTTCATAGCTTTTTTCTGAGGATCCAGACAGTGCCAGGTACAGAGGCAGCAGGCTGTTCTCATGAAGACTTAGGTGTGACTTCAGGCTTTGTGGATGGCTGACTGTGTGACCTTGGCATGTCACAACCTTTCTGGGCCTCAGTTTTCTCGTCTGTGAAGTGGGGATGACAGTAACACTCAGAGGGTTGTCTTGGAGATGAGTAGCAATATCGGTTATATGTGATGTTTAGTTGGCATTGGTGTTTCCGTTGTATAAAACATCGCGCTGACCCAGTGACATCCATGATGTCATTGAAGCTTTAGGGCAATAAGGTAGGAACAGGCACAGAAAGATTAACATCTTGCCCAAATTGTTCCGGGACTATGACTACAGAGCCCGCATATTTGCATTGACAGGCCTGGAGAAAAAATAAAATTCAGTGGCCAGCTCTCAACTGTCATCTTACTTGACCTAATAGGCAGCATTTGATTACTGGCCACCTCCTTGATTTCTTTCTTCATTTGGTTTCTGGAACAACATAGTGTCCTGGTTTTCATCCTCACTCACTGGCTCTCCTTCCCGTTTCTTCTGTCGGCTCTTCCTCATTCCCCAGCCTCTGAATGATGGCACACACCAGGGCTCTTCTCATCCCTACCTGCGCTCACTTCCTTTGTGATCTCATATCATGTTGAGACTTTACGCTGACGACTCTCAAGTTTATATCTCTAGACCAGTGGTTCTGATTTGATTCCCCTCGGGACATTTGGCGACCCGTGGAGACATGTTGCGTTGTCCCACTCGGGGTCGGGGGGTGGGGTGGGCTACTGGCGTTTAGTGGGTAGAGACCAGGGATGCTGCTCAACATCCTACCGTGTGCAGGACAGCGGCATCCCCTCCCCCCCACCCCTGAACTCTCCAGCTCAGTGTGTCAGTAGAGCCAGGGTTGAGAAAGCCAGGTCTAGGCTGGACCTCCTCCCTGAGCTTCAGGCAGCCTACTCAATATTTTACCCTGGGTGCGTCATAGATCCCTTGAACTTAACATGGTGGAAAATGAGCTCTAATCTCTACTCCTCTTGCTCCACACCTGCTTCTCGTACCGTTTTCCCCATCTCCTCGTTGCTCTGGACAGACCTGGGAGTCCCTTCTCTCACACCCCATAGCCAGTCTCTCCGTAAATCTAGTCCCTAGAAAATTGTCAGTGGGAAAGACACTCAGTAGGCATCTGTTGATTGAAGGAACAGGGAGTTCTCAGATGTTGGCTGTTATAAGTAACAAGTGTTATTCATGAATTCGTTCCTGATGGAGGTTTGCTTCTTTCCCCCACCCTCCTGCCCTGTGTTATACGCCAGAGGCGGCAGTGGCTGCAGGAGGCTATGTCAGCTGCCTTCCGGGGCCAGCAGGAGGAAGTGGAGCAGATGAAGAACTGCCTTCGAGTACTGTCCCAGCCTACACCCTCCTTGGCTGCTGAGGCTGACCTGGCCGCTGACCAGCAGGAGCGCGAGGGGGCCCTGGAGCTGCTGGCCGACCTGTGTGAAAACATGGACAATGCTGCAGGTACACCCGGGCCCACCCGCGGCTGCCCCTTGGTCTCCCTCTGTCTCTTTCCTCCACCTTAGCCCCACATCCTGCTGTGGCTCAGCTCTTGTCCTTTCTCTCGGGGACCACACCATCAGCCTCTTCCCCACCCTTCCACCTCCAGCCTCTACCTGTCTAGTCTGGCTCCAACTGAGGCCCCAGCTAAGACTGCCCTGTCTTCCTGCTTGGTCCTCTTGCCATCGGGAGGGGACTTTCTCTCACCCCACCCACCTGATAGCAGGTCTACCTCCCTGATGTTCTCCAAAACTGGTCATTTCTCCCTAGTCTCTTGGCAGTGCACTGTCACTCCCTAGAATATGAGTGAGGAGGTGCTTCTGGGCGGCATGGTCAGAGAAGGCCTCCCCAAGGCGTGCCATTTGATCGGAGACCTGAAGCGAGTGAGCGGGTTATGAGATCAGCTCTGGATCTCATTTTAAGAAGGCATTCCAGGTAGAGGGAATGGCCAGTGCAAAGGCCCTGAGGTGGGAACCTGCCTTGTTGTGCGGGAATAGCGGTAAGGCCAGCAGGGCAGAGTGCACTGAGTGAGAGGCTGGGGGTAGGAGGTGACGCTGGGTGTGCAGGGCCTTGCAGGTTGAAGCAGGCGCTGTGGGTTTTGTTCTAAATGCCGAAGAGCTGATAGGAGGACGGCATTCCTCTTTCTCTTGGAGCGACGTGACATAGCCATTGAGGGTGTAGATGTGTCTTCTCTAGATGTTTCATGTAAGTGGAATCATAGAATATGCGAACTCTTGCGACTGGCTTCCCTGAGTTTGATGTTTTCGAGGTTCTCCCACGTTGTAGCCTGTATCGGAGCCTTATTCCTTCAAATGGCGGCTGATACCCCACATGTCGTTTATCCGTTCTCTGTTGATGGGCATTTGGGTCCTTTCCCCCTTTGGTTATTGAGAATAATGCTGCTGTGAGCCTTGGTTCCCACTTTCCAGGGTTTGGGATATTTACGTAGCAGTGGACCTATGATAACCCTGCGTCTGACTTTTTGAGGAACTGCCGAGCTCACCAGTACCACTTTATTCATAAGAACAGGTGGTGGGCCGTAGTTTGCCAAGCCCTGGTCTAGGGGATGTTCTGATTGTCACAAAGATTGGGGGTCAGTACTAGCATCTAGTGGGCTGGAGTCTGGAACCCTAACCCCCCCAAATGCTGGCATTTTTGAGACATGCTGGCCTTGTATTTTTTTAAAGATTTTATTTATTTATTCATAAGAGACAGAGAGAGAGAGAGAGAGGCAGAGGGAGAAGCAGGCTCCCCGTTGAGCAGGGAGCCCGATGCGGGACTCGATCCCAGGATCCTGGGATCATGACCTGAGCCAAAGGCAGATGCTTAACCATCTGAGCCACCCAGGCACCCAAGACATACTGGCCTTGGAGGGACCCCTGGTTGGGCGCTTGATGGAGCCTGCACTTGAGGCAGGCTCCCCCCGGTAGCCAGCCTCCCCCTCCAGCCTCACCTGCTGTGTTCGGGTGTGAGGGCTGCCATAGCCTCAGGGGCTGAAACAGAAATGTATTTTCTCAGGGCTCTGGAGGCTGGAAGTCTGAGATCCAGGTGTGGGCGGGGCTGGTTTTCTCCTGGGCTTGGTCTCCTTGGTTTGCAGACAGCTGCCTTCTCCCTCTGTCCTCATGTGGTTTTCCCCGTGTGCCTCTCTGTGTCCTGATGTCCTCTTAGAAGGACACCAGTCTTACCACCAGGATTAGGACTTACCCCGAGGACCTCACTTTACCTGGATGATCTGTTCTTTTTTTTTTTTAAGATTTTATTTATTTATTTGACAGAGAGAGACACAGCGAGAGAGGGAACTCAAGCAGGGGGAGTGGGAGAGGGAGAAGCAGATTTCCCGCAGAGCAGGGATCCTGATGCGGGGCTCGATCCCAGGACCCTGGGATCATGACCTGACCCGAAGGCAGACGCTCAACGACTGAGCCACTCAGGCACCCCTACCTGGGTGATCTCTTAAAAGGCCCTGTCTCCAACTAGTCACATCCTGAGGCACTTGAGGGGTTGGGCCTTCAACATGCGAATTTTGGGGGGGGGTGCACAGCTCAGCCCATACCAGCTGGACTCTCATGTCCCCTCTCTCTGGCACAGACTTCTGCCAACTGTCAGGCATGCACCTGCTGGTGGGCCGGTACCTGGAGGCGGGGCCCGCAGGGCTGCGGTGGCGGGCGGCGCAGCTCATCGGCACATGCAGCCAGAATGTGGCGGCCATCCAGGAGCAGGTGCTGGGCCTGGGCGCCCTGCGCAAGTTGCTGCGGCTGCTTGACCGGGACGCCTGCGACTTGGTGCGCGTGAAGGCTCTCTTCGCCATCTCCTGTGAGTGTCTGGGGCAGCCGGGGAGGGGCGGATGGAGAGGGGCCGTGTTGGTTCATTTATTCCCATTGCCAGTGAAGACTCTGTGCTGGGTGTCGGGGACGGGGTGGTGAGCTGGCCAACCCCTCGCTAGTCGGACAGCCAGATCCTGATGATGCAGGAGCACCGCCCAGCTTCAGTGCTGCACGCACATCAGGGTCCTCGGCTTCTGCACTTTCAATGTTCCTCGTGGTGAGGAGGGGGCCGGCCTGTGCATGGTGGGGTGTTGAGCGGCACCCCGGCCCCCACCCATTAGAGATACCAGTGGCTCCCACTCATGCTGCCTCCTGGGGGTCAGATGCCGGGATGGGGATGATGCCAGCGCCTGTGGGGCACTCTCTCTATGCCAGGCCCCACGCCAAGCCCTGTGCGAGTGTGTTAACTTGGTTAGTCCACACACACAGACTCTGAGGTAGAGAGACCGGATCTACATGGAGGAGGGACCAGGCCAGGTCGCCTAGGCGAGAGCCCGGGGCACCCTGCAAGGTCTTGCAGATGTGGGGTTTGAGCCCAGGCAATGTTCTTAACCATGTGCTGGGCCCCTGTCAGTGTGTGTGCCGTCCTGGGGGCCCCCACTGGACTGTTTCCTCCTCCTTAAATCAGCTTTTTGGAGATAGAATTCACAGGCTATGCTGTCCATCCTTTTCAAGTTCAGCGCATTCACTGGCTTGTGCAGTGGCGATGATCACTGTCTAACTCCAGAACATTTCCATCACTCCCAGAAGAAGCCACATTCCTGTTAGCAGTCCCTCCTCACCCCCTCCCTCCAGCCCCTGGCAGCCAGCAGCCTGCTTCTTGTCTCCATGGATTTGCCTGCCCTGGACATGTCCACCATATGGCCTTTTGTGTCTGGCTTCTTTCACTGAGCATCATGTTCTCCGGGTTCATCTGCATTTATAGCCTGTACTGACGCCTCATGCCTTTTTATGGCTGAATAATAGGTCATTTATGAAGGGGCCATGTTTTGTTTACCCGTTCATCAGTTGTTCAGTGGGACATCAGGCAGTGTCTGCCTCTGGCTGTGTGAATAGTGCTGCCGTGAACCACGTGGACAAGGTTCTGTGTGGTCGTGTGTTTTCCTTTCTCCTGGGTGTGCACGTCTGGGGTCGGAGTTCCTGGGCAATACGGCAGCCCCATGGTTCTCTGTTTGAAGTTGGAGGAGAACCCGTTTCTTCCACTCCCAACATTTGTGACACTGAATGTGTGTGTGGGGCTTACAGACGACCAGTTTTCCAACTCTCTGGATGCCTGCCGGGTGATCTACAGTCCCATTCTCTTCCATTCTGATGCTGACTCCCTGGGGTTGGCACATCTCCACAGGTTAAGGGCTCAGTTCTACGAGATGGCCCCTGTTTCAGACACCCGTCGAAAGTTTGGGCCTTCTGGGGGCGTCTGGCTGGCTGAGTCCGTACACCGCGCAACTCTTGATCTCGGGGTCATGAGTTCGAGGCCCACGTTGGGTGTAGAGTTTAACTTAAAAAAAAAAAAGAAAGTTTGGGCTTCCTGTGCTTCCTAGTTACTGGCTGTATATTAGGCGTTCCCATGATCCCCTCCTCAGGTTCGATAGTTTGCTAGAATAGCTCACAGAACTCAGGGAAGTACCTGTGTTTAGTGGCCATTACAAAGGATACAGATGAGCAGCCAGATGAAGAGGTGCACAGGGCGAGGTCTAGAAGGGTCCTGAGCGCAGGAGCTTCTGTGCTTGAGGAGTTGGGTGCGCCATCGTCCTGGCACACCCATGTGTCACTAACCCAGAAGCTCTCTGAAGCCCACCGTTCGGGGATTTTTATGGAGGCTTTCTCCTGGAGGCATGATGGATCGTTAAGTCCACCCCCGTCCTTCTCTCTCTGGAGGTTGGGAGATGGGGCTGGAAGTTCCAAGCTTCCAATCATGGCTTGGTATTTCTGTAAGGAAACCCCATCCAGGAGCCCACCCAGAGTCCCCTCACTGGAAGAAAAGATGCTCCCATCACCCAGGAAGTCCAACGGGTTTTAAGAGCTTGGTGTCAGGAATGGAGGCAGAGACAAAATACGTATTTGTCGTGTCATGCTGGCCCTGGTAAAAGAACAGGGAGGCTGCAAAGGAATTCTGGCAAGAGCGAGGGAAAGAGTCCTGGAATGGGTGGCATCTGGAAAGTCCTGTCCAAAACTGGAGAGACAGGTGGACACACAGACCTCGGGTAGAGGTCGGCCATAAAGGGTAGACAGAGAGACTCAGTTCCCCAGAGGTACCAAGAGCCAGAGTGGGATGCGGGAGGGATGGGGCAGAGTTTTCTTCCAAAAGCTGACATTAATTATATCTCAATAAAAAAAATACTTAAAAGTTAATGCTTATGAAGCACAAGCCTGTCGAAGTTGATAGTGAGTTTGGTGAAGGTGGTGATGATTCTGGTGAGGGTGGTGACGGTGACTTCGAGGCCCCTCCCTCTCTCTCGCCTCCCCCCCAGGCCTGGTCCGGGAGCAGGAGGCTGGGCTGCTGCAGTTCCTTCGCCTGGATGGCTTCTCCGTCTTAATGCGGGCCATGCAGCAGCAGGTGCAAAAGCTCAAGGTCAAGTCAGCGTTCCTGCTGCAGAACCTGCTGGTGGGCCACCCCGAACACAAAGGTGGGGCGGCCAGGGCAGGGGGCCCAGGGACGATCCCCAAGGGAGGGTGGGGAGGAGGGGAGTGCCTGGGGGAGGGGTGTGGACTGCCCCTCTGACCCCCAAGACCCTTCCCCCAGGGACCCTGTGCTCCATGGGGATGGTCCAGCAGCTGGTGGCCCTGATCCGGACAGAACACAGCCCCTTCCATGAGCATGTGCTTGGAGCCCTGTGCAGGTATGCTGGGGCCTCCGAGAGGACGAGGCCCTGGGGCAGGTGGCCCTACCTCTCGGCTGACACCCCTGGGCTCCAGCCCACCAGCCTCCTTCCCTCTAGGATTCAGGACTTTGGGCCTTTCCCTCGGAGGGGGCAGGAATCATTGTGCTGGAGCTCCCTGAGCATTCGTTTATTCACGTGTCAGGGGCTGACCCAGCAGCCTGGAAGGAGGGGGAGAGTCTCTCTGACCCGCACACAGGACCAGCAGATTAGCATCCAGAAAAGATGACAGAATGGAGCAGCTGCTCGAGCAGGTGGCAGCTCCAGCGTGCAGAGTGGGCTCCAGGCCAGGCTCTGTGCTAGGCGCCTTGTTTTGTACAAGTCTCCTCGTAGGCCCTTGGAGGGTGGGGACCGCGTGAGGCCTGTATTGCAGATGGGGAAACTGAAGCCCAGTGTGGGGAGCCGTCTTGCCTGGGCTCCTGGGAGAGCAGTGGCCGGGGTGGGGTGCAGCCCCGTGCAGAGGGAGGTCCCAAGGACTGCTCTCCTGTCCCCGCAGCCTGGTGACAGACTTCCCCCAGGGCGTGCGGGAGTGCCGGGAGCCTGAGCTGGGCCTGGAGGAGCTCCTCCGTCATCGCTGCCGGCTGCTGCAGCAGCACGAGGAGTACCAGGTAGGCCGGCGGGGCCCGTGCGCCCTGTGCGTCAGGCGTCTGTCTCCCCGCCTCTTGGCTCACGTGTTCTCCCGCCATTGGTTCAGCAGGTGCTTCTTGCCCCCTCCCGCGTGCCTCGTGCCATGCCAGCGCCACAGGCCGGCAGGAGAACGAGCTTGGCGTGTTTTAAGGGGTTAACAAAGTCATTTATTTATTATTCACATTTTATAAGTATTTATCTCCTATCAGATATTCAATAATTATTTGATAAATCAATGATAAAAGGCAACCCGTTAAATATTTAATTAAAAATAATTAAGTAGATAACGAGTAACAGATAAACAACTCAGCTGTTTAATTAGATAATAAGTAACAAGTGATAAATAGCAGCGCATTAGATATTTAGATCAGTAACAAATAAGTGATAACTCAGATAATTAGATCATTAGTAATGCATACGTGATAAAGAGTGACTGATTGAATATTCATATAGTTTACTAAACGATTAAGTGGGTTAGCTGGCTGATGATAAAGTACTGCCCAGATGTTGGTGCCCCCCCTCCCAGGACATCTGCTCTACTCAGTCCATTCCTCCGTGACACTGTCGAGTGTTTCCAGAGAGCTGCAGGGAGTGAGGAGTGAGGATGACCAGGAGAGGCACGTTGCCCACCCCCAGATGCTTGCCCCGACCCCATCGTAAGGACACATGGACATACGCGCCCATGGGGTCCTGGGGTGCTTGGGGCCCCAGCCTGGGGGTTTCAGCCGGGGAGCGTGTCCGTTGTTGCTTGCTGTATTGGCGCATCCGTTCCCTGAGCTACTGGCGTGCCAAAGCCTGGGCAGGACCCACCTGGTGAGGGAGGCCTCATGCGAACTGACCAACACTCCTTTTGTTTTGTTTTTTTTCTTTCAAAAAAACTTTCACAACTTTCTTAGGGGTATAATTGTCATATAATAAACTCCACTTACTGGAAGTGTGCCATGTGAGAAGTTTAGACACGGGGACACATCTGTGGAAACCCCATCTTTCCATCCCTCCATTGGTCAGGGGCGGCTCACCCACGCGCCAAGCCCTGAGCTGAGCGCCGGGGATTTGGTGAGGAGCAAAAAGATCCATCCTTGGTTCTCACGGGGCCCGGGGGGTGACAGAGAAACGTGTAGACGAACACACAGAAGGACGTATTTACAAATACACACCTAGTGTGTGTGTATACGTGCATGTAGGATACAGGCAGTATTTCCATCTGTGTAATTTAACATTCCGTTCTGCATAGTGTGACAGCAGGAAGTTACGACTACGGTGAAGGAGACAACCTATGAGGGGACAGAGAAGGCTGGGCAGTGGTCTTTTCCACACGGTGCTGTGTTTGTTTCCAACAGCTGCTCTAATTCTACCACAGACTGGGTGGCTTAGCAAGAAACGCATTGCCTCACAGTTCTGGGGACCGGGAGTCTGAAGTCAGGTTGTCGGCAGGGGCTGCTCCCTCTGAAGGCTCTAGGGGGAGAATCCTTCCTCTTCCAGCCGCTAGTAGTTGCTGGCAATCCTTGGCATTCCTTGGCTTATCGATCCACCACTCCGGTCTCTTCACATGGCCTTCTTTCCTATGTGTCTGTGTCTTGGAAATCTTTCCAGATACTTAAATAGAGGTCTGCTTTAAGTTTTTTCTTTTTTAAATTTTTTATTTATTTGAGAGAGAAAGCATGAGCGGGGGAAGGGGGAGGAGCCAAAGGAGAGGGAGAAGCAGACTCCCTGCTGAGCAGGGAGCCAGACACGGGGCTTGATCCCAGGACCTCAGGATCATGACCTGAGCTGAAGGCAGACGCTTAACCCACTGAGCCACCCAGGCACCCTGAGGTCTGCTTGAATTTTAGCATAATTGAATAATGCAGTTGGCATGGTATTCTGTAAGGTGACTCTGTTCATGACGTAGTCCTCTTTTGTATTTTTGTAGGTAAATTTAAGAATTAAATTTCAGGAATGCTTTCTCGTGAAAAGGTCCTGTGGTCATGTGGTTCAAAATTCAAGATGCATAGGAGGGTAAACAGTGATTAGTCTCCCTGCTGCCCCCGTCCCTAACCACCCAGTACCTCCCCCAGTTCCGTGCGTGGCCTCCCCAAGATAGTCTGGGCACACAGGCAAATGTGCGTATAAATTCTTCTCTTCTTCCTCTCTCCCTTTTGTGCAAAATCTGCCTGTCCTGACCACTTTTCTGCTCCTTGCCTCGTTCCCTTTCATGACATCTCAGGAAGGGGTACAGAAGGAGCGTGTTTTGTGTTGGCCATCATGGCTTTTTCCTGTTTCCTTTTATAGCTGCAAGGTAGGTCGCTTCTTTCTTGTCATGACCCCTCTTAATGGACACTCTGGTTGCTGCTACCAGCTCTGCTAAAAGAATAACCCTTTACCTATGTTTCTTTATACGTGTGAGTATGTCTATAGAGCAATTTCCAGAAAGGGAAAAGCTGGGTAGGTTAAAGGTGAACTTACAGAGTTAAGGGCCCTTTTTGCTAGGTATTGCCAAGTTGCTCTTTATAAAGGTTGAACCAGTTGTCACTCCAACCATGAGAATGCCCAAGGGGACCTAAAGCCATTGGACTTTTTTTTTTTTTTTTCCTCAAGCTGATTGGTGAAAAGTAGTATTCTGGTCCGGTTTACATTTGCGTTTCTTCCATGAGTAAAGTTGGGACAGCTTTCCTTTCTTGTGAACTGTTCATTCATATCTTGTGCCCATTTATCTACTGGGTGGTGGTTTTTGCAGTTGATTTATTAAAGCTGTTGAACTATTAAATATGTTAGCCTTTTCTAACAAGTTGCACATTTTCCACCCCAAACTGTTTTTCTTTAATTTTTGTTTCTGGCATCTTTTTGCCATGCAGATAACCTTTTACGTTCATGCGGTCCAACCTGTGAGTGCTCCTTTCTTGGTTTCTGGGGTTTGTACCTATGGAAGGGGTTTTGATTTTAAGTGGGGATTAGCAGGGGTCGGTCATACCCGGTAGGTAGAGCCCAAGGGGGCTGAGGTGAGGACAGACCAGTGGGGTGAGACGGCCACTGGGAGACCCCCGTTCTAGTTCGGTAATCCAGGCACAGGTGAGAAGAGAAAGTGAGCCATGGGCCGCAGCTGAAGTCAGAGAACCCTGGGAAGCTGCTGGGGCAGGCAGTGAGGAGGGAAGAGAAGCCATCTCTGGGTGCAGAGCATGCTGGAGGCAGGAGCCCGCTGCGCACTCAGGGCTCCCACTCTTGTTCCCTCAATCCAGGAGGAGCTGGAGTTCTGCGAAAAGCTGCTACAGACCTGTTTCTCCAGCCCGACGGATGACAGCATGGATCGGTGAAAGCTGGTGGCTTGTCACCCCCTCTCCGTGGGAAGCCCAGGCGTGCTGCCTCCCAAGGGAGAGCAGGGCCTTGGTGGTGCGCGGCCAGGGCGTGCCAGCCCGTCTCTGCTCAGCCCCTGCCGGGGGCGCTGACGAAGGCGCCGGCTCCCTGGACCCCACCCCTCGCGCTCTCGCTGCGTTCCCCCTTCTGTGTCCACACTGCTCTTCCAGTAAAGGTGTTTCTCCTTCGACTCCTTCGCTGCGGCCTTCATCGCCTCTCCCGGAGGGTGCCTGGGTGGGAGGGGCACAGCCTTAGGGGACCTAGGCGCCGCGGAGGAGAGGGCAGCGGGCGGAGCCGGGCATAACCGTGCTGCTCTCTACAAGCCAGAGCCCTCGGGTCTCATCTTCTCAGCCTCTCTGGACAGGGAGGGTGAGGGACACCCGTCCGTTTGGGCTCACCTGTTGTCTCCAGCTGCTCCGTCTGAAGAACGCAGGCTGCCTGCCCTGGGGCGGAAGCCATGTCGTTTCCCAGCGTCCCGGGCAGAGGCCACCGCGGGGGCTTCCGGGGCGCTGGTGCTGGGAGAGGGCGGGAGCCGGCGCCCTGAGCGTGGGCCTCGTTCCCGCCCTAAAGCGCTGAGCCGTCTCCAGCCTTCTCCGAGTTTGGGGCGTTGAGGCAGGCCTCCTTTCATTTCATAAATTCCTTGTCAGTTTAGCGAAAGGAGGTTTTATCATTTGCAACCCAGGCTCCTGGCCAGTGCCGTTTTTCACACGAGGAATCCGAGCCCGGGGTGCTTGAACCGTGGGCAGAAGTTCACAAAGCCAGGTTTCAGACAAAGCTGTGCTCCTCCTCCCCTATTCTGGTTTCCTAGCTCCATTTGATGTAGACGAATTCCTCTCATGTGGAATTTACTCGTACTCCTGGGATTTGGGAGGGACAGATTATTTTCACCCTTCTCCCCAAATTCAGGATAAAGCGAAAGGTAGCTACAGGATCCGAGAATTGGAGATCAAGTATCACCTTTATTACTATTAGCAGCGATCAGAGGAAGTGGCTTTAGTCTTGCTGCTTCCACACCCCAGCATTAGACATGCTTGCCTGTCCGGTCACAGGCAGCACTGGATAAGCACAGGCCTTCCCTTGGGTGCAGCAGGCCAGACACTGGGCAGGCTGCCTCTGAGAGAGGGAGAGCCGGAGTGAGCCACGATGCCCATCCAATCTGGCAAATTGTTCCTCAGCCCCTGGGAGGGGTGGAGAGGCCAGGAGAAAGACACTAAGCGGTTGAAGTTACTCCATATGGAAATGTGAACAATGGGGAATGGGTGTTCGCACCAGACACTTTAAGAAGCCGCTTCCAATTTTTTTTTTTTTTTTTTTTAAGATTTATTTGAGAGAGAGTGTGTGCCCACGCAAGCAGGGGAGGGTCAGGAGAGGGAGGGAGAGAATCTCAAGCAGACTCCCCGCTGAGCACAGAGCTCAACCCAGGGCTCCATCCCATGACCCCGAGATCATGACCTGAGCTGAAACCGAGTCCCACGCTTAACTGAGTCACCCAGGCACCCTGCCCCTTCCAGTTCTAATGCACATAACAGTATGGTCAACCTGTGAGTTCTGATAGGGTGAAGACACAGATTTCAGTCCTTAAAGCTCCTGCAGCTTCCCGGTTCTTCCAGACTGACCATGTCAACTTCTCAGGTTTCATTTGGTGGTTGAATATGGCTACACCCCCATCCCTCAGTTCCTGAACTTATGTGTTAAAATAATATGGCAACTATGCAATCATATCGGCAGAAAAAAACCCAAAATGCTGAGTAAAAGATAAAAGAATGTGACAGAGGAAGAGATGACTCAAGGAACAGAAGGAAATGCCTCCCCCTTGCTTCAAGCTGAATAACAATAGGAACCTGGGTCCATTTTAAAATAAAACCTCAAAGATGAAAAGGTAAGATTGGCAAAACTAAGGAAACAGAGGACTGTGGTGGATTGTTCAGGAAATACTTGCTCCCTCCCATTCCACCGCCGTGAGGGTGGTACACTTTCCTACCCTGTGGGGTGTGCAGTGTAAATGCCTGTCCCACGACTCTGGGCTTGATCGTGTGACTTGCTTTGACCAACGGATGGTAGCGAGGTGAGACAACTAGGGACTTGAAATGTGCTAAAAGATGGGCTTGACCTCAGGTGCTTCTGCCTTTCCTTAGGAGATGGTGGCCTCGGTAGCCTATGGTGCCAGAATATGAGAGACCTGGGAAGCAGAACCAGCCTTGCAGAACCAGCCTTGTCACCACCCTTCACAATGGCAGCTCCAAGTTGTGAACCTGACCCAGGCTGCCCAGGTGGTGACCGTCACACGGCAGTAGGTAGCTGTTACAAGGACCAAAAAACGTCCCATGCAACAAATACAGTGGAAATAGCAAGGCCCAGAAGAGACATGTGATTGTAAGTGGACACATGTGGAAATGACAAAGATCGTTACAGAAAGGAGAGAGAAGCTATGTGGAGGACAAATGCATAGTTGGCATCCTTGAAATGGAGAACAAACAACCAGTACAGGAAAACCTACTCAACCATACGATTCAATAAAATGTCTCTGAAATTTAAAAAAAAAGTAAATCTGGGGTTGAAAGATGGAAGTTGATTCAGTACACGCACTCGCTCGTCTGATCCTTACAGTGGGCCTGTAACATGGGGATGGGGGACATAAAAGGTGGGGACACTGAAGCAACAGTAAGACAAGGCCCGGGCAAAGGCATGCAGGTGGGACCGAAGTCAGCCTGCAGCCGAAAAGGCGTCAAGAACCGCGCGGTATCGGAGCACCCAGCCTTGGCTGGAGAGAAAACCCGATGTGGATTGCCCAGGAGCTGGACCCTGGAGCCAAAGCAGGACTATAATTGGACGAGACGGAGTAGCGAACGGATTTCCAAAAGGAGCGAGCGGGAAGAGAAATCCTGGAGCAGGATTGACTCTGCACTTTGGAACGGAGTCGTAGAGAACCGCCGGCGGCGTGCAACGGCGCTTGCGCATTGGGTCGCCTGGGTTTATTCTGGGTTTATTCGGGGAGAGACCGTTGGCCCAAACCAGCGCAAGCGCATCTGCGCCCTGCGCCGGCTGGGCCGGTGGGGAGCGGCCGGGCCTCCGCGCGCACGCGCACTGCCGGGCCCGGGCGCGCGGCCTCCGCGCACCGGGACGGCGGCGGGTGGGCGGGGCTTCCTGCGTGCCCCTGCGCTAGGGGATTGTGGGATAGTGGCGGACGGAGCCGGGCGTCGGAGGCCCCGAGCGTACTGCAGAGCCCGGAGACCCAGCCGGTTTGGGGAAAGGGGCGGCCAGGGAAGTGGGCCTCGGCTTCCGTTGGCCGCTGCTCAGCGCCGCGGCCTGTCCGGACTGCGCAGGGAGGCGTCTTCCCTGACCGGCCTTTGCTTTCCCGCGCGGCGCCGGGCCGGCCCGGGCCAGCCGGGGCGACTTCCCCGCCGAGGGCCTCCGCGGGCCTCGCGACCGCGCTGACCTCCCCGCGCCCCCCGGCCGCCGGCGGGCCCCGAACCTCCGCCTCCGTCCGCTCGCAGCCGGCGCCGCCCCCCGAAGCCCGCGGCTCGGCGCGCCGGGGTCTCCCCTAGGCCCGAAGGCGCGTGCGCGAGCGTGAGCCCCCGCCGCCGCCCCCCGCCCCCTTATACCGGGCCCCTGAGCAGGGGCCGGAGCCTCCGGCGGCGGGGCGGGGGGGGCGCCCCGATGAGCCCCGAGTGCGAGGAGCCGCCGCCCCCCCGCGCAGGTGAGCGGCCGCCGCGGGCCCCCCACCCCTCCCGCACCTGCTCCCCGTCAGTCCGCGGGACACCTCTTCCCCGCCTCGCCCCAAGTTCCTTAGTCTCCTCGCAGCAGCCCACCTCCCCAGTCTCTCTTTCAGTCCAACTTCCCCTCCTCGGACCCAGCCCCGCAGCCCTGGGACGTCTCCACCGTTTCCTCCCCGGCCCCCTCCCCTGGAGCACCCCCTTCCTGCTCTCAGCCTCCCCGACCCGGGCTCCGGCCCCACCGGAGCAGTAGGGCGCTCCCTGCCCCCTGCCCGGCTGAACGTGTGCGGAGGGCCTGGGAAGCGGCCCCATTTCTGTGAGGGCAGGCGGCGGAGGGAGGGGACACAAAGGCCCGGCCGGCCGGTCACAATTAGTGGTGTTGTGATGGAGGTAGCTCAGGGCCTGCGGGCGGCCGAGGAGGGGCCGGTGAGGCTGGCTCAGCGCTGGCGCCTGCTGTTTGGGAGGGCCAGGAGGGCTTGACAGATGGAGAGTGGGAAGAGGGGCCTTCCGGGTGGAAGGAGCAGCACGTGCAAGTCTGTGAAGGTGGGGGCCCCGGACTGGTCGGCAGGAGTGTGGGGAGGGGGAGGACCTTGGTGCCGCTGCCTGTCCAGGCCCTTGAACGTGACCTCCGGGTTAGGGTCCTTTCCTGTGCGCTCCTGTACACCCCAGTGTCTTCGCAGAGGCCACAGAGGCGACAGGAACACCGGCCTGAAAGGCAAGAGGTTTCTGCAAGGGAAGCTGTGTTAGGTGTGGTGCGGGGTTCAGAGTTGTAAAGAAACTTGAGTGGGGTGTAGACTGGTGCTGACGTCAGGGCCCTTCTCGCTCCGTGGCTCTGGGGGTTCAGCGGACTGTCTGGAAGCCTGTAGCGGAATGCAAGGCAGTAGCTTTGACAATGATTACTAGGTTTGGGATCATCCATTGCAGTGGTCCTCAGGGACGATTGTGTCCCCCAGGGGACATTTGGCGTTGGCAGGAGTCGGCGGTGGTTACAACGAGGCGGGTGGTCCTGGGTACCCGGTGGGTAGAAGCCAGGGATGCTGCTCGCCATCACCCAGTGCACGGGACAGCGCCCCCCCTCCCCCCACAGGAGGATCTTCCCAGCCCCGAATGTCCTTAGTGCTTCGGGGGAGAAACCCTGCTCTCTTGCTTGGGCATCGTGTAGTTTTTTGTCTTACCTGCCCTATTGCCACCCGTCAGCGGCTGTGTGTTCCAAGCTGTGTATTTTGATTTACTTTCGTGTTTTTGGTGATTTTTGTTGGGTCCCCTACTGTTTTTCTGCATCAGAGGAGAACCTGCTGGTTCCCCCCCTCCCCCCAACACCAACACTTCTTTCCAGGATCTGTGGAAAGTGACTTGAGCAGGTCACTTTCCCCTTCTGGATTTCGGTTTTTTATTAATTCAACAAGTGTTTCTAGCTGTCGGTCTGGCCTTCTGCAGAGGGAGGCAGGTGACAGGAGAGGCGAATCCTGTCAC